TTTAACAGGTTTTATCCAGAATTGCCTCTCTTCTTATGTTTTATTTTTGAAGTAGTTCGAAAGAATCTCGGGGACCTCTTGTGTGTGGTTTTTGAAGTAGGTTTAAAGAGTATCGGGAACCTCTTGTATCTGATTTTAGAAGTAGTTTGAAACAATCTCGGGACCCCTTGTGTTTGGTTTTTGAAGTTGTTTGAAAGAACATCTCGGAGCCCCTTTTATCTGCTTTTTGAAATATGTAGTTTGAAAGAATTTCCGAAACCCCTTTTACCTGGTTTTTGAAGTAGTTTGAAGGAATCTCGAGGACCCCTTGTGTCTACTTTTTGAAGTACTTTAAAAGAATCTCACGGACCTCTAGTGGCGGTTTTTGAAGTAGGTTTAAAGTGTCTCAAGAACCTATTGTATCTGGTTTTAGAAGAACTTTGAAAGAATCTCGGAGACCAATTGTGGTTGGTTTTTGAAGTAGTTTGCAAGAATCTCGGTGACCCCTTGTGTCTAGTTTTTAAAGTAGTTTTGAAAGAATCTCGGAAACTACTTCTGTCTGTTTTTTGAAATAGTTTGAAAGAATCTGAGGAACCTCTTGTGTCTGCTCTTTGAAATGGTTTAAAAGAATCTTGGGGACTCATTGTGGTTGGTTTTTGAAATAGTTTGAAAAAATCTCGGGGATCCCTTGGCTGGTTTTTGAAGTAATATTTAAGAATCTCAGGGACTCTTATGTTTTATTTTTGAATTAGTTCGAAAGAATCTCGGGGAACTTTTGTGTGTGGTTTTTGAAGTAGGTTTAAAGAGTCTCGGAAACCTCTTGTATCTGGTTCTAGAAGTAGGTTTAAAGAGTCTCACGAACCTCTTGTATCTGGTTTTAGAAGTAGTTTGAAAGAATCTCGGGGACCTCTGGTGTCTGCTTTTTGAAGTAGTTTAAAAGAATCTAGGGGACGCACTGTGGTTGGTTTTTGAAGTAGTTTGAAAGAATCTCGACGACCTATTTTGTCTAGTTTTTGAAGTAGTTTTGAAAGAATCTCGAAAACTACTTATGTCTGGTTTTTGAATCAGTTTGAAAGAATCTCAGGAACCTTTTGTGTCTGCTTTTCGAAATAGTTTAAAAGAATCTGGGGGACCCATTGTGGTTGGTTTGTGAAGTAGTTTGAAAGAATGTCGGGGACCTCTTATTTCTGGTTTTTGAAATAGTTTTAAAGAGTCTCGGGAAACTCTTTTGTCTAGTTTTTGAAGTAGCTTGAAAGAATCTAGGGGATCCTTTGTGTTTGGTTTTTGAAGTAATATTTAAGAATCTCAGGAACACTTTGTGTTTTGTTTTTGAAGTAATTTAAACGAATCTCGGTGACTCCTTATGTTTCGTTTTTAAAGTCGTTCGAAATAATATCGGGGACCTCTTGCCTGGTTTTTGAAGTAATATTTAAAAATCTCGGGGACTCGTTGTGTTTGGTTTTTGAAGTAGTTTAAAAGAGTCTCCGGAACCTCTTCTATCTGGTTTCTGATCTAGTTTCAAAGAATCTCGGGAAACCCTTGTGTTTGGTTTTTGGAGTAGTTTGAAAGAATCTCCGGAACCCCTTTTATCTGGTTTTTGAAGTAGTTTGAAAGAATCTCAGTGACCTCTTGTGTCTGCTCTTTGAAATGGTTTAAAAGAATCTTGGGGACTCATTGTGGTTGGTTTTTGAAGTAGTTTGAAAGAATCGCGGAGGCCACGTATGTCTGGTTTTGAAGTAGTTTTGAAAGAATCTCGGCGACCCCTTGTGTCTAGTTTTTGAAGTAGTTTTAAAAGAATCTCGGAGACTCTTTGTGTTTGGTTTTTGAAGTAGTTTGAAGGAATCTCGGGGATCCCTTGCCTGGTTTTTGAAGTAATATTTAAGAATCTCAGGAACCCCTTGTGTTTTGTTTTTGAAGTAATTTGAACGGGAACTCCTTCTGTTTCGTTTTTAAAGGCGTTCGAAAGAATGTCGGGGACCTCTTGCCTGCTTTTTGAAGTAATATTTAAGAATCTCGGGGAATCCTTGTGTTTGGTTTTTGAAGTAGTTTAAAAGAGTCTCCGGAACCTCTTCTATCTGGTTTCTGAACTAGTTTCAAAGAATCTCGGGAAACCCTTTTGTTTGGTTTTTGGAGTAGTTTGGAAGAATCTCCGGAACCCCTTTTATCTGGTTTTTGAAGTAATTTGAAAGAATCTCAGTGACCTCTTGTGTCTGATCTTTGAAATGGTTTAAAAGAATCTTGGGGACTTATTGTGGTTGGTTTTTAAAGTAGTTTGAAAGAATCTAGGGGACTCCTTGTGTTCTGTTTTTGCAGTATTTCGAAAGAGTCTCGGGGACGTCTTATTTCTGGTTTTTGAAATAGTTTTAAAGAGTCTCGGGAAACTCTTTTGTCTAGTTTTTGAAGTAGCTTGAAAGAATCTCAGGGATCCTTTGTGTTTGGTTTTTGAAGTAGTTTGAAGGAATCTCGGGGATCCCTTGCCTGATCTTTGAAGTAATGTTTAAGAATCTCAGGGACCCCTTGTGTTTTGTTTTTGAAGTATTTTGAACGAATCTCGGGGCTCCTTATGTTTCGTTTTTGAGGTAGTTCGAAAGAATGTCGGGAACCTCTTGCCTGGTTTTTGAAGTAATATTTAAGAATCTCGGGTACCCCTTGTGTTTGATTTTTGAAGTAGTTTGAAATAATCTCGAAGCCCCTTTTATCTGCTTCTTAAAGTGGTTTGAAAGAATTTCCGGGACCCCGTTTGTCTAGTTTTTGAAGTAGTTTGAAAGAATCTCGGGGATCTCTTGTGACTGGTTTTTGAAGTGGTTTTAAACAGTCTCGGGAGCATCTTTTATTTGGTTTTTGAAGTAGTTTGAAAGAATCTTGGAGCCCCTTTTATCTGTTTTTTGAAGTGGTTTAAATAAATCTCCGAGGCTTCTTTTATCTAATTTTTCAAGTACATAGTTGGAAAGAATCTCAGGAACCACTTGTGTGGGGTTTTTGAAGTAGTTTGAAAGAATCTCTGGGACCCCTTCTGTCTGGTTTTTTAAGTAGTATGAAAGAATTTCGGGAACCCTTTGTAGTTGGTTTTTGAAGTACATAGTTTGAAAGAATCTCGGGGACGCCTCGTGTTCTGTTTTTGAAGTAATTAGTTCGAAAGAATCTCGGGGACTTCTTCTTTCTGATTTTTGAAGTAGTTTTAAAGAGTCTCTGGAACTTCTTGTGTCTGGTTTTTGAAGTAGCTTTAAAGAATTTCGGGGATCCCTTGCCTTGTTTTAGAAGTAATATTTAAGAATCTCGAGAACCCTTTGTGTTTTGTTTTTAAAGTAGTTTGAAAGAATTTCAGGGACCCTTGTGTCTGGTTCTTGAAGTAGTTTTGAAAGAATCTCGGGGACCCCTTCTGTCTGGTTTTTTAAGTAGTATGAAAGAATCTCGGGAACCCTTTGTAGTCGGTTTTTGAAGTACATAGTTTGAAAGAATCTCGGGGACGACTCGTGTTCTGTTTTTGAAGTAATTAATTCGAAAGAATCTCGGGGATTTCTTCTTTCTGATTTTTGAAGTAGTTTTAAAGAGTCTCTGGAACCTCTTGTGTCTGGTTTTTGAAGTAGCTTTAAAGGATTTCGGGGATCCCTTGCCTTGTTTTAATATTTAAGAATCTCGAGAACCCTTTGTGTTTTGTTTTTAAAGTAGTTTGAAAGAATTTCAGGGACCCTTGTGTCTGGTTCTTGAAGTAGTTTTGAAAGAATCTCGGGAACCCTTTGTGTTTGGTTTTTGAAGTAGTTTGAAAGAATCTCGGGGATTCCTTGCCTGGTTTTTGAAGTACTATTTAAGAATCTCAGGGACTCCTTGTGTTTTGTTTCTGATATAGTTTGAAAGAAACTCGGAAACCACTTGTGTTCTGTTTTTGAAGTAGTTTGAAAGAATCTCGAGGAACACTTTTCTTGTTTTAGAAGTAATTTGAAAGAATCTCAGAGTCTCGTGAACATGATGTGCGTATTTTTCGAGTGATTTGTTTTGTAATAACATTTTATGATGACGTAACCAAGTTTTAAGCAGGATAAAGAATGCATTCTGGCTAACGGTTACTATACCTACGATAACAAAAATCTAGATATCCATGATAAAAAATAATGGCGGACTTACTTTGCAAAACTGCGATTTGACGTCATAGCAGACGACAGAAAAGGAAGACCTATTTTTTCATACTCTAAAAGGTATAGGAAATTTCCCCATACCTTTCATGCTTTAGTAATAACCTAAATCAGTAGATGATGCTAATATAATCACGAGTCTTGCATTATGGTGGAATTTTTCCACACTTAAGTAATAATCAAATTAACGAAATATTGTTTTCAATAATATGTATTTTAGGATAAAAACAAATAACTGAACTTCATTCTTAAAATATTATTATTCACTGTAGCAAATACTAGTTCTGGACTTTGGAACGAAGAGATTAAACCTCATCCTGCTAAAAATAAATCAAGTGCAAAATTACAGAACCATAACATAAATAACAAATTAATTTAAATTGATATTTTGTAACATAAAGATAATTATTTCTTTCGGTGTAAATTGTAGGAGTGGCGAATCTTTAACACTCAAACGATTAACAAAAATATAATAATTAAAAGACGATAGCATGCGATAAAAAAAAGTTGGAACCGAAGTAGTGTCCAAAGGTTATTCTATTTATATGTACCTGATTTATTTTGATAACGTGACATTTGTGCAATTAAATAAATAATGCTGGATTTTCGCTTATATTTTTGGGTAAATTATGGCATGAGGGACACTTTTGACGCTCATAGTACACTTATTTTTTGTGAGAGGCGGCACATTTATCATACCTATTATTGCATTACCAAACAAAGTCAAACAATTTCAAGTGTTTATCAATCAGAACATGATTTCTCTGTTAAATTAAACACCGGTACATGTTTGCCTTGTGTGCGAACAAACGTCACCAGGACATAGTCTAACTCGTTAAGTAACATTTACCTGGACGAAACGGCGCGATTTCCTTACTTATTCGCGAACTGTTCGCTTAACCTTTATTAATTTCCGAGCCCCACATTATTATTCCTGTCAACTTCAATACCTGATTACCATTCCCCGTCATGCCCACCTCCGCCTGTTCCAACTCTCGTCTACTTTCACACACCTAGACCAGTTCCTGCCACTAATTACCCACTATCTCCACATTCGCGGAATTATCAAATCCACTCCAGTCCGTGAGCTCATCCGCGCTTTCGAGTGTGCGTACCATATGGGCCCTTGGGACCCCACGCCGCCTCTATTGCCTCTAATTGATCAATTAAGCGATTAGTGTGCTCGACGGACTCCACTAGAGACCATATTACTATTGTTTATCCCACCATCATCCCACAATTCTCTCTTCCGTTCCGACCAAACGCCGCTTTGACCCCGTCCTTACGGCCAGTTTTACTACCTACGTTGACCAGCATGTTATGACGCCGATACCTGCGCTTGGAACCCCGTTTTAGTCCGAGTTCTTTACTGGAGTGAATGACAACGTGGTTTGTGTGAGAAGAAAGTGGAGTTGTTGAAATGGGACAAGAACAGAATAAGGTTAGTGGAACAGGAGGGTGATGGGTGTGCTAAAATTGCAACACGTGGTGGTTAAAGGTACCCGATTTGGCGAGAGTGATGTAATTTTTTCAAAAATGGGACAACTGATCAATATTAATGACAAGCGCTAGTGCATGAATAGAAATGGGTGCGTGAAAAAAGTTCAAGGTTTTTCGAATTTTTCTTTTCATTTATTTGAAATTTACATGGATTAACATATTTTAATATTAACTGTTTTTTCTATGGGTATAATTTCGACTTAAATATCAAGTAAAAACAAAACTAAGGTATAAAAGTGAATGTATACATACATTTTGTTTTATTTTTGAAATGCATTACAAGGAGTGTGGTGTAACTCGGCTACCGCCTCGTCAAGAACTTCGCGATTTCGTTGTACAGTTTCTTAACCCACGCTTTCAACGAAATCCGGGATCGTCTTCGAAGAATTGGTGCGTCGAAAATCGGTGATTTTCCTTCCAAGTGCAACTACATTAGTTGCAAATCACTACTCATTTTCAAGGCTGATGGCATCATTTCTGCACAACACATCTGAATATGTTTTGATGAGTGCATTTTTCAATAATTCGTAGCGCTTTTTACGGCTTTAGTTGATCTTATTTACATTTATCTGGAAATTTCACAAGTTCATGGACTTTGTAGTCCGTCGACAAATAAATATTCAGTGTTTAAGTAAAACAAGAGATTTCGGTTTACGTTTGTTTGCTTAAGTAAGTTCCCACGAACTAGGAGCCATATAATCAGAGTAGATGACGCAGAAGATATCGATATTTGTAAAGTTTAAAATTCTATAAATATATACATACAGCAAAATAACAAATTTGTTAAAGTAGCAACAAGTATTCCGGACAACCTTAAGAATGTAAATTTTGACCGATGAACTAAAAATGTTCTCCAGTGGTAGTAAAAGTTGCTACTAGAAATTTGACTGTTCATTGTTGATCAATAAATTTTGTCTGGTTGTTAAGATTAGTGCTATCTGAATGATGCTGTTGTAAAGCTGGGTTAATACTTTTTTCACTTTTTTTTGTTACGCGTGTTTTTCTCTATAGATAACAAAACTTCCTTAAAGTAAAAAAGTGAAATGCAAAAATGAAAATTTTTCAGATTTTGAAAATCGTAGTTGTTCAAAAAATGTTCAGGAATAATCTAATTTTGACTAAAGGGAACAAATTATGTTTAACAATCTATTGAAAATCTTGCAGTTAAAACGAAACTAGATTTTATAAAAACTAAAATTTATAAATTTAAATCAAACCCATTTGGATCAAAAAAAATGTTTTTACAAAATTTTGAAATTTCTTCTCAATTTGCTAATAACTTTTGAAGTTTTATTATCCCTGTTTTTAATTTTTACGTTCTTGTTAGTTTATTTTATTTACTTAATTAATTAATCCTTGATCTTATTATTTTCATATCTAGTGTTTATAATTTTAGTTAAAGATTTGTGGTTTTTGCACTCCATTTTTTTTTTCTGTTTATGTCAAATATATCTTAGACGCTAGTGTGTTTTTCCGTCATAAATAAAATAAATAACATTAAATAAACCTTTGATCCTTAATTTTTGATATAGTTCCTATAGTGGAACGGCTTTGTCGACCACTAACTTGGAATTTTTGCCGGATTTTTAGGCAACTTCGTTGAAAGCTCAGTTTTTCAGTATTAATTTTTTTACGTTTTCCCGAACGCTTTCGAAAATTAAAAAAAAAGATTGTTGTTGATTTTGACTTCCAGGAATTTTTTCTTCTTCATTTTTTCGGAGATTCTTACCAATTTTCGAGAATCATCAAAATGAAATTTGACATTTTTTTTTTTGTACTTGAAACCGAATATTCTGAAAATTTTGGTCAGGGATCATCGACAATCTATGTTTTTCGATTCGGTTCGTCGAGGTCTACATCCCAGAATTATTTGTAAAATTTCTAAACAACTTGTCAAAAGTTCAATTTTTGATCTTCTCCTGAAAATTAAAAAAAATTACCAAAAGGGTTTGTTTGTTGATTTCGACCTCGAGAAATATATCTGGATGTTTAATGTTTTTGCTATTATTTGGACATTTCTTTAAATTGCCTGAGTATTATTTCACAGAAAATTATGAACCAATTTTGTATCTTTTGCTATCGAAAATTATTATATGGTTATTATTAGTTTATGCAGTGTACCTGCATAAATTAATAAATTCCATTTCCTCTTTTAAATATGTTTTAAGTTTGTTGTTGTGAAGAGAAGACTACATATATTAAGAAAAAAAAGGCAAAGTATAAGCCCCACCCACCCACCCGATCTCGATTGCGATGATTTTTTTATTCGTCGTGAGCCAAGAGGGCGGAGCTTAATTGCGAAATCTTTGTTTCTCTACAAAAAATTACCATCTGAAACATCTTTTGTTATTGTTGACATAGTAGGGGAGAGAGGGTTGCACAGTCTTCTTTTTTTTTAAATGATCTATTTTAAACATGTTTCGATTTTTTAAATTTTCTATTTTTCGACTTCGATTTGTCAAATTTTTCTACTTCTCAGTTAACCAGTTTCAATTTTTCGAGGTTTCGACTTCTCGATTTTTGAGTTTTTCGTTTCAATTTTTCTTCGATTTTTAAATTGTTGGACATTTTAGTTTTAGGATTTTTTAATTTTTCGATTTCACGTTTTTTAATTTTTTCGATTTTTCAATTTTTGGATCTTTGATATTTCAGTTACCTATCTCGATTTTTCAATTATTCGATTCTTCAGTTTTTCGATTTTTCAATTTTTCGATTTCTCGATTTCTAGACGTCACGATTTCTCGATTTTTCAGTTGTCCAGGTTTTTCACTTCTCAATTTTCCAACTTTTAAATGTTCGATTTTTCGACTTGGATTTTTCGAATACCGATTAATTTATCGATGTCTCAGTTTTGCAATTTTTAAATAGTCAGATTCGAATTTTTACTTTTTCGATTTTTCAAATTTCCGATTTTTTCGATGCTTCGATTTCTCAATTTCTGGATTAATCGCGTTTTTCTTTTTGGTGGTTGGAGTTTCGATTTCCCGACTTCCCGATTCCTCAATTTTTTGATCGTTAAGTTTTCACTTCTTCAATTTTTGAATTTTTCAGGTTTTTCATCTTTGAATTTTTCGATTTTTTAAATTTTCAATCTTTCGACTTCGATTTTTTACGTTTTCGATTATCTCGATGTTTCAATTTTTCGATTCTTCAATTTTTCTTCGATTTTGAAATTTTTCCTTATTTTAAGTAGTTTTAGGATTTTCCAATATTGCGATTTTTCAATTTTTCAAATTTTTGCTATTTCAATTTTTTAATTTTTTCTCGACCTTCCGATTTTTCTACCTCTCGGTTTTAGATTTTTCGGTTTTCAAATTTTCCGATTTTAACATTTTTAATATTTCGATCTTTAATCTTTCGTTTTTTAAATTTTTCGATTTTCCGATATTTTGTTTTCACGATATATTCAACGATATTTCAATGTTTCGATTTTTCCGTTATACATTTTCCCGATTTTTCGGTTTTTCAATTTTTCGATTTATCGATTTTTTTTGTTACATTTTTCAATTTCCAATTTTTCGATTTTTAAATTTTTGATTTTTGGATTTCGGTTTTCCGTTTTCCGACTTTTCCATTTTTTAATTTTTCGATTTTCCGATCTTTTTTCCTGACATCTCGGTTCTTCGATTTTTAAAATTTTTTGGATTTTCCGATTTTTAAATCCTCGATTTTTTAGTTTTCGATTTCGATTTTTCGATTTTTTGATGTTTCGATTTCTAGATTTTTCAGTTGATATTTCTATTTGTTCCAGTTTTTCGATTTTTCAAAATTTACATTTTCCAATTTTTCAGTTTTTGGATTTTACGATGTTCTGGTTTCATTTCTGATATCTCGGTTATTCGATTTTTAACATTTTTTGGACATTCTGATTTTCCGACTTTACATTTTTAATCTTTCGATTTTTAAAAATTTTTTCCGTTTTTAAATTTTTCGATTTTCCGATTTTTTATTTTCTCGATATGTTTAACGCTATTTTCATGATTCGATTTTTCGGTTTTTCAATTTTTTGATTTGTCGATTTTTCAGTTTTCCAATTTTTCAATTTTCCAATTTTTCGATTTTTGTGATTTTTTGATCTCGGTTCAATTTTTTACTTGTTCGGTATTGCTATTTGTTCCAGTTTTTCGATTTATTAGATTTTACATTCTTCCATTTTGAAAATTTTTTGGACTTTTCGGTTTTTAAATTTCTTGTCTTTTTCAAGTTTTTGATTTGTCAATTTTTCAGTTTTGGGAATTTTTCAGTTTCTGGATTTTTCATCGATATTTTAAGTTTTGGCATTTTTTGATTTAGATTTTTCGGTTTTTCAATTTATCTATTGTTCATTTTCTCGATTTTTCGGTTTTTTAGTTTATCGTGGTTTTTTTTATGTTGGATTTTTCAATTTCCTAATTGTTCATTTCACTTGAAAATTTGCAGTTTCTCATTATTTCAGTTCCCCGATTTTACAATTTTTTGATTTTTCAAATTTTCGATTTTTCAATCTGGTTTTTACTTCCCGAGCGTAAGCAAAGGAAGTATTGTAATCGAGTCCGTCGGCCGACTCTCTACTTTTACGTTTTCTCGATCTTTCATGACCCCTAAAAGACGAAGAAGTAGGTCTCCCATTTCCGTCTGTCCGTCCGTCTGTCCGTCTGCCGTCCCGGATTTTTATTAGACAGATAATTTCCGAAAGTACTCGACCGATTGTTGTGAAATTTCGTACTTATATTAAGAATATCATGTAGATGGTAAAACGCTAACCAAAATTTGTCTAATCATCCCCACCACTAATGCGATGACGTCACTTCAAAATTGTACATAGTAAATGGGTTTTCAATTGTATAAAATAACATAGTCCTACACATGTAGTTTACAACTCAATATTTTAAAGTTATTATAAGCATGATAAACTTTTGTTCAAAATGTATTTGTTCATCCCTCCTAAAAAAATTTATGACGTCACCCTTAAATTTTGCTGAATAAATCCTATCTAAAATGCAAAAAATATGATGAGTTTGTACTTGTGATTTTTTTTTTTTTATTTTATTAGATTATGTGATTTATCATTCCATTCATATTTTTTAGATTTTCTTAAGAGGTAGCTCAAAAAAATTAATGAAGTCAATTTATTTTATTGATTAAATTAAAGGCAACACTTATTATTAGTATTACATTGGACCAACCCAATTCGGTAGACACAAAATTTTTTAAAGTAAAAACTCGGTTGAAACATAAGGGTAGCACGCTTATTTACATCGACTTTAACATTACAGACGTGCATTTGTTTTGTGCGCTGTCTAGGTTCCGCGAATGTGGAATAGACATGTTTGTAATCAACCAATTGTGAATTCCACCGTTAAAAATTAAAATAAAACCCAATGTTTTATATAATAAGCGGAAATCGAAGCAATAAAACCAATGGTCGTTTTGTTTACAGTTTCTCTGTTTAATTCTCACGTATGCTGTTACGCTTGTCATCTTAAATTAAGAATGTTTATACATAAACGATTTTCAGTTGCCTCTCACCGGCGCCGTATACGTGAGTAAATTGTTTCGTTATTTTATTGATTATAACAAATAAATATTCAAAACGACCCAATTCATTTTCCCGAAAATTTGGGAATACAATAATTTTATTCTTAGTATTACACTACATCTATCTCAACTGATATACGTGTCCTTGCAAAAATGTTGATGACGTCATCGCAATTTTTTTTTAAATTCACACTACAAAAATGTAATGAGAAAAAAAACACAATAGGCATGCAGTCGTCAAGTTTCCGACAGCGAGGGAAGTACTGTCTAAACTCTTTAGACCAATTTTTCGGTCCAGACGAGAGAATTCCGCGCTCTTTCGCCTTTGGACTTGACCATCAATAAGATAAATCTCGACCGTCGCGCTTTTTTCAAGTAAGAAATGTGTATGCGATCACTTAACACCATCGTTATCAATCGAAGGACGTGCCCAAAATCCAACCAATGGTTGACTAAATCTTACTCACACCCTCTCTCCTCGTATAAATAAAGCTGAATGAAATCCAGCTGCACGAAACGGCGAATTGCTTTTGCCGCGACACGTGTTAGCAAGTGTGGTTCTGATTAAAAAAGAAATAAAGAAAGAGAGAGATGGGTAAAGGAGGAGAGAACATGACCCTGCAGTCCGTCGGCACCGGGATAGACGACAGCGGAAAAAAACAAGAACACTCGTTGAAAAAAGTGAGTACCGAATAGACCGGAAGCTAGTGAAAACGCGCCTACCGTAAACCGAATACCGCTTATGATTTTAATAATTCGACAAATCGAGAGGGTGTCGTCTTTGTGTGACGCCAGGAAACGTGAAACCTTTTGAATTTCCGACGGGATATCCTGTGGCTTTCCTCTGATAATTTTCCTCGAGTTTGTTCATTATTTACGACTAACTCTAAATTTAACCACGCTCGTAAATCCCTATAAATCACTGTCGCTTTCAGGGTTTTAACGGAAAATTGATTTTCGCCATCATCGCATCAGCGTTGGGGTCGTCATTCCAGCACGGGTACAACACAGGAGTGACCAACAACCCGGAAAAGGTAACTAAACCCAACCCGGTAACCCAATCGTGACCCGAATCTTCCAGGTCCTGCTATCATGGATTTCCGAAGTCATGGGCAACCGCACCGGGATAGTCCCCGAGGAGGGTTCAGTGACCATCGTGTACGCCCTCGCCGTCTCCATCTTCTGCGTCGGCGGCATGATCGGCGGCGTCTCCACCGGCTTCATCGCTAATCGCTTCGGCCGCAAAGGCGGCTTGCTCCTCAACAACATCTTGGTCTTCATAGCGGCTATTTTCTTCGGGTCTGCGAAAGCAGCGGCTTCGCATGAGCTCTTCATCCTGGCTAGACTCATCATCGGGGTCAACTCGGGTCTGAACGCCGGACTGGCACCCATGTACCTCGCCGAGATTTCACCCATCAACCTGCGCGGTGCCGTGGGTAGCGTGTACCAACTAGTCATCACCATCTCCATCCTAGTCGCGCAAGCTTTGGGCTTGAAGTACGCGCTGGGTACCCCTGAGCACTGGCCCGTGTTGTTCGCTCTAACCGCAGTACCGGCGATTTTCCAAATCCTGACACTACCCTTCTGTCCCGAATCGCCTAAGTACCTTCTATCGTCTAAAGGCAATGAAATGGAAGCGCAAAAAGCGCTAGGCTGGTTGAGAGGGACTTTACAGGTGCACGAGGAGCTAGAGCAGATGAAAGCAGAGAACGACGCGGTGAAGTTGTTGCCCAAAGTAACAGTAAGAGAGTTATTGACGAACCGGGTACTACGAATCCCCCTCATCATTTGCTTGTTCGTCATGGTAGCCCAACAACTAAGCGGCATTAACGCTGTAAGTACACAAAAGTAGTACCCGTTCGTGTTAAACTAACCCAACTTTGTAGGTCATCTTCTTCTCCACGTCCATTTTCCAACAATCAGGTCTCAAGGATGACAGCGCAACCTTCGCCACGATGGGTATGGGTGCTATTAACGTCCTCATGACCATCGTGTCGTTAGTTCTAGTGGAAAAAGCCGGGCGGAAGACGCTTCTTCTTCTGGGTTTCGGCGGCATGGCCATCGACACGCTTCTACTAACAATTGCCATGAACTTCACTGTAAGTACTTTTATAATCTTGTCGCCGTTTTTCCTAATGGTACTTTCTAGTCAATCGAACCCAACTTGAGTTACCTCTGCATCGTCCTCGTCTTCATCTACATCATCATGTTCGCCTCCGGGCCTGGGTCCATCCCGTGGTTCCTGGTGGCCGAGCTTTTCAACCAATCGGCGCGACCCACGGCTGCATCCTTGGCCGTTTGTACCAACTGGACGGCGAACTTCCTCGTGGGTTTGGCGTTCCTGCCCATTATAGTAAGTACTAGAGTGTGGTGGTACCTCGAGCTTCATTTTATGTGTTGTAGAAAGCGATCGGGCCGTACGTCTTTATCATCTTCGTGGCGCTTAACGCCTTGTTCTTCCTCTTCATCTACAAGAAGGTCCCCGAGACCAAGAATAAAACGATTGAAGAGATTTCGGCGCTGTTTAGGCAACAGTCGTATCAGTAGGTACAGTATTGGGCGATGTTTACTCGAATTGTGTAAATACTGACTGATAGTTGCAGTAGAGTAGGGCGAGGATTATTTTTGAATACATTCACATTTGTAGTAAATATTTATTGTAGCAGATCTTCAAATGAATAGTATTTTTGTGTAGTTAGAGGGATCTGTGCCGAAGCTCTCTGATAGACTGTAGGTTTAATTTATTTATTTATTTAGGTAGGTTGAGATAGTTCGTGACTAATTACGCAATTGTACTATTCGGACTGAGTTAATATAAATACGTGTGACAAAATAAGCAACATAAGTGTTCGATGTGCATCAGGTTCTAACAGACAAATTTTGTACAATTTATTTAAGCAATTTACGACCCTGACCGAACTAGTTAAATTCAATAATGATATTGCAAATAAATGCGTGTAAGTTTAGTGATTAGCTGTATTTTATTATCTGTTTATACATTTAATTCAGGTGAATAAATTTTAAGTTTTTCGACGTTTTGCTCAATCCCCCCTGTTTGACCTCTGTTCTCCTTGAAAGTCGTGAGGTTACCACAAAGACAACAACCAGTCTATCTTTTTTGCAAAACGGATACACTTTTCCAAAATAACCCTAAAACGAATCGATCCGCTCATTTCCACTCGCTGATGATATCATCGATGGTCCTGTTCTTGGTTTCTGGTACGAACTTCAAGATAAACAGGAAAAACACCACGTCCAAGGCGACGAAAATCAGGAACACGAACGGCCCGATTATAGCCTGAAACAAGTACTCAAACGAGAAAACAGACTGTGGTACCTACCTCAATCAAAGGAAACGTCAGCGTGACGATAAAATTGGCGATCCAGTTGGTGGGTACCGCTAAAGACACAGCAGTCGGTCTAGCAGCTTGGTTAAAAATCTCGGTAACCAGAAACCAAGGGATCGAGCCCGCGCCAGCCGCAAACAAGATGATGTAAATAAAAGTCAGGATGATACAAACCCAAGGAAGGAAGTCGTTTTGATCCTGAAATCGACTCATGAAATATACGCACCTAAAGCAATGATAGTACCGCAAAGTATAGAGTTAGAGACAAGAGCAAGGTATCGATAGCCATTCCTCCAAACCCGATCAAAAGAAGAGTTTTTCTCCCGGCCACTTTCACAAGGTACAGCGACACGATAGTCAGCACGTTGACAACGCCGATCCCGATCGTGTCGTACTTTGGGTTGTCCCCTTTCAAGCCAGCTTTTTCGAAAGTATCCGTGGAGTAGAAAATCACCTGAATGGAGAGCGTAACACCCAACACCACCAAGCGTAGTACTTACGGCGTTGATGCCACTGAATTGCTGCGCCAGCATGATGACCAGAGCTATAATCAACGGAATCCTCAGCTGCCGGCTCTTGTACATGTCTGACAGCGTGATTTTCGGCAAAGCTTTAACAGCGGCGTCTTCAGACTTCATTAGAGTCATGTCGGCAGACACGTCGTCGCTCATTCGGAGAAACTTCAACGACTGTTCGGCTTTTTGCTCATTGCCTTTGACCCCGATGAGGTACCGCGGCGACTCCGTGCAGAACAGCAACGTAATGACCTACAACACCGTAACAATCCCGATACCAAGTGTGCTCTCACCTGGAATATTGCGAAAAACATGGGGAAGATGAATATGTATGGCCAGTATGTGTGATTCCCGAGGACATAATGCAGCCCGACAATCTGGGCTATCAAGATCGATATCGTGATGACGAGCTGGTAGACGCTGGAGACGGCACCTCGTAGACTCACGGGTGACACTTCGGACAAGTACATCGGGCAAAGACAAAATTTTTGAACTATGTATTTAAAAGAAAGCAACCTTGAAACCAAATATTTCGAAAATTTTGTGTCCGAATTGTTTCTAGACTTTTAGTGTAACTGCATAAATTAATAAATTCCATTTCCTCTTTTAATTTTATTTTAAGTTTGTTGTTGTATATTACAAAAAAAAGTGAAAGTATAAACCCCACCCACCCACCCGATCTCGATTGCGATGATTTTTTTTATTCGTGGTGAGCCAAGAGGGCGGAGCTTAACTGCGAAATCTTTGTTTCTCTACAAAAAATTACCATCTGAAATATCTTTTGTTGTTGTTGACATAGTAGGGAAGAGAGGGTTACACAGTCTTCTTTTTCTTTTTAAATGATCTATTTGAAACATTTTTCGATTTTTTTAATTTTCTATTTTTCAACTTCGATTTGTCAAATTTTTCTATTTCTCAGTTAGCCAGTTTCAATTTTTCGATGTTTCGACTTCTCGATTTTTCAGTTTTTCGTTTCTTCAATTTTTCTTCGATTTTTAAATTGTTGGGCATTTTAGTTGTAGGATTTTTTAATTTTTCGATTTCAGGTTTTTTAATTTTTTCGATTTTTCAATTTTTAGATCTTTGATATTTCAGTTACCTATCTCGATTTTTCAATTATTCGATTCTTCAGTTTTTCGATTTTTAGATGTCTCGGTTTTTTAATTTTTCGCTTTTTCAGTTTTCCGTTTAAAAACTTTTGCTTTTTCGATTTTTCAATTTTTCGATTTCTCGATTTAACGATATTGAGATGTTTCGATTTTTCAATTCCTCAATTTCTAGACGTCACGATTTCTGGATTTTTCGATTTTTCAGTTTTCCAGGTTTTTCACTTCTCAATTTTTCAAATTTTAAATGTTCGATTTTTCGACTTGGATTTTTCGATTACCGATTAAGTTATCCATATCTCAGTTTTGCAATTTTTAAATAGTTGGATTCGATTTTTTACTATTTCGATTTTTCAAAATTTCCGATTTTTTCGATGATTCGATTTCTCAGTTTCTGGATTAATCGTGTTTTTTTTTGGTTGTTGAACCTTCGATTTCCCGACTTCTCGATTCCTCAATTTTTTGATCGTTAAATCTTGACTTCTTCAATTTTTAAATTTTTCAGGTTTTTCATCTTTCAAATTTTCGATTTTTAAATTTTCAATCTTTCGACTTCGATTTTTTACTTTTTCGATTATCTCGATGTTTCAGTTTTTCCATTCTTCAATTTCTCTTCGATTTTGAAATTTTTCCTTATTTTAAGTACTTTTAGGATTTTCCAATATTGCGATTTTTCAAATTTTCAAATTTTTACTATTTCAATTTTTTAATTTTTTCTCGATCTTCCGATTTTTCTACCTCTCGGTTTTAGATTTTTCGGTTTTCGAATTTTCCCATTTTTAACATTTTTAATCTTTCGATTTTTAAAATTTTCGGTTTTTAAATTTTTCGATTTTCCGATTTTTTGTTTTCACGATATATTCAACGATATTTCAATGTTTCGATTTTTCCATTCTACGTTTTCCCGATTTTTCGGTTTTTCAATTTTTCGATTTTTCGATTTATCGATTTTTTTACGTTTCATTTTTCAATTTTTTAATTCTTTGATTTTTAAATTTTTGATTTTTGGATCTCGGTTTTTCCGTTTTCCGACTTTTCCATTTTTTAATTTTTCGATGTTTCTATCTTTTTTCTTGACATCTCGGTTCTTCGATTTTTTTGTTTTCGATTTCTCAATTTTCCAATTTTGGGAATTTTTCAATTTTTGGATTTTTCGATTTTTTGTTTTCTCCACAAATTTAACGAGAATTTGATGATTCGATTTTTCTGTTGTTCATTTTCTCGATTTTTCGGTTTTTTAGTTTTTCGATTTTTCAATTTTTTTACGTTAAATTTTTCAATTTCCCAATTTTTTATTTCCGTTGAAAATTTCCAGTTTTTCGTTATTGCAGTTTTCCAATTTTTCAATTTTTGGATCTTCTAAATTTTGGAGTTTTCGATCTGGTTTGTTTGATTTTTCGACAGTTTTTTGGCTTTTCAAATTTTAGGGTTCAGGTTTTTAATTTTTCGATTTTTTGATGTTTCGACTTCTCGATTTTTCAATTTTTCAGTTGTTTGATATTTCTATTTGTTCCAGTTTTTCGATTTTTTAAAATTTACATTTTCCAATTTTTCAGTTTTTGGATTTTACGATGTTCTGGTTTCATTTCTGATATCTCGGTTATTCGATTTTTAACTTTTTTGGACTTTCCGATTTTCCGATTTTTTACATTTTTAATCTTTCGATTTTTCAATTTTTTTTCCGTTTTTAAATTTTTCGATTTTCCGATTTTTTATTTTCTCGATATATTTAACCATATTTTCATGTTTCGATTTTTCGGTTTTTCAATTTTTCGATTTGTCGATTTTTCAGTTTTCCAATTTCTCAATTTTCCAGTTTTTCGATTTTTGTTTTGGATTTTTTGATCTCGGTTCAATTTTTTTACTTGTTCAGTATTGCTATTTGTTCCAGTCTTTCGATTTATTAGATTTTACATTCTTCCATTTTTCAATTTTTCGATTTCACGATGTTTTTTTCTTGACGTCTCTGTTGTTCGATTTTAATTATTCAATTTCTGGATTTTTCATCGATATTTTAAGTTTTGGCATTTTTTGATTTAGATTTTTCGGTTTTTCAATTTATCTATTGTTCATTTTCTCGATTTTTCGGTTTTTTAGTTTATCGATTTTTTTTCTGTTGAATTTTTCAATTTCCCAATTGTTCATTTCACTTGAAAATTTGCAATTTCTCATTATTTCAGTGCCCCGATTTTACAATTTTTCGACTTTTCAAATTTTGGATTTTTCGATCGGGTTTTTTGATTTTCGGACAATTTTTGGTCTTTTCAATTTTTAGTGTGCAGATTTTTCCATTTTTTAATTTTTCGATTTTTCTATCTTTTTTCTTGACATCTCGGTTGTTCGATTTTTAAAATTTTTTGGATTTTCCGATTTTTTTAGTTTTCGATTTCTCAATTTTTCAATTTTGGGAATTTTTCAATTTGTGGACTTTTCGATTCATCGATATTTTAATTTTTTGCATTGTTTGATATTTCGGTTGCGCGATCTTTCGATTTTTCGAATTTTTGGATTTAGTCTTCGGTTCTTTGATTTTTGGATTTTTCGATTTTTTGTTTTCTCCACAAATTTAACGAGAATTCGATGATTCGATTTTTCTATTGTTCATTTATCCGATTTTTTTAAATTGAATTTTTCAATTTTCAAATTTTGGATTTTTCGATCGGGTTTTTTGATTTTCGGACAATTTTTGGTCTTTGCAATTTTTTGATTTTTTGATTTTTAAAATTTTCGATTTTCCTATTTTTTGTTTTCACGATATATTCAACGATATTTCAATGTTTCGATTTTTCCGTTGTACATTTTCCCGATTTTTCGGTTTTTCAATTTTTCGATTTATCGATTTTTTTATGTTAAATTTTTCAATTTCCAATTTTTCAATTTTTCGATTTTTAAATTTTTGATTTTTGGATCTCGGTTTTTCCGTTTTCCGACTTTTCCATTTTTTAATTTTTCGATTTTTGAAATCTTTTGGATTTTCCGATTTTTTGTTTTCTCCACAAATTTAACGAGAATTCGATGATTCGATTTTTTTATGTTAAATTTTTCAATTTCCCAATTTTTTATTTCGGTTGAAAATTTCTAGTTTTTCGTTATTGCAGTTTTCCAATTTTTCAACTTTCCAATTTTTTGGGTTTTCAAATATTATGGCTCAGGTTTTTAATTTTTCGATTTTTTGGTGTTTCGATTTGTTCCAGTTTTTCAATTTTTTTAAAATTTACATTTTCCAATTTTTCAGTTTTTGGATTTTACGATGTTTTAGTTTCATTTCTGACATCTCGGTTATTCGATTTTTAACATTTTTGGACTTTCCGATTTTCCGATTTTTTACATTTTTAAACTTTCGATTTTTCAAAATTTTTTCCGTTTTAAATTTTTCGATTTTCCGATTTTTTATTTTCTCGATATATTTAACGATATTTCCATGTTTCGATTTTTCCATTGTTCATCTTCTCGATTTTTTGGTTTTTCAATTTTTCGATTTCACGATGTTTTTTTCTTGACATCTGCGTTGTTCGATTTTAAAAATTTTTTGGATTTTTCGATTTTTAAATTTCTTGTCTTTTTCAAGTTTTTGATTTGTCAATTTTTCAGTTTTGGGAATTTTTCAATTTCTGGATTTTTCAATTCATCGATATAAGTTTTCGCATTTTTTGATATTTTTTTTAGTTTATTTCGTTATTTCAGTAGCCCGATTTTTAAATTTCCAATTTGACAATTTTTCAGATTTTGGATTTTTGGATTGGATTTTTTGATTTTCGGACAATTTTTGCTCTTTTCAATTTTTAGTGTGCAGATTTTTCAATTTTTCGATTTTTTGATGCTTCGATTTACCGATTTTTAAAATTTTACATTTTCAAAATCTTTCAATTTTATTACCATTTTATGATAATACTTAAAACATGTGTTGGTAAAAAGTTCACCACAACTGAGATTTTGCCCTTTTTCTAGACATAAGTATGTAATGATCTTTTGACGCCAAGATATTGAAAACGTTTAAAATGGTACATTTTTGTTTCCGGAAACATCTATTTTACAATTAAGCCCCGCCCCTCGGTCTGACACCGAATGAAAAATTCGTCACATTTGAGACTGGGGTGGGTGGGCGGGGCTTAATTTTGACTTCTGTTTTCTCGACATATACAGTTGTCTTTCAACAACAGAATACTTAAAAACACATTTCGCATATAGCGAAATAATGATTTTGCAATAATTTGGACATTTTTTTAAATTATCTCGTTGTTGTTTCACAGAAAAGTCGTAAACAAATTTTTATCTGTCGTTATCGAAAACTATTACACGTACCGATACCTAGAAGTGTGTTTGGAGTTTACTTTTTTTGATACCGCAGTTCGAGATATCGGAGACGGTGTACAGCACGTTCAGTACTTCACTTCCGCTTAGATTTCTTTATTCGTAGCTATATACATTTAAAAAATAATTACATCAAAAAGACAAAATTTCATCATTTTTGTCGAGCAGAAATTTAGTTTTCTTATCAAACAAAAAAAAGCAAATTCAGGTTAGCCATACAACTGCATTTTTTTATTGCAAAATATTACACCTGGTAATGCGAATCGTCGCAACGAGAAGTCTAATTTCATCATCAAAATGACAAATCATCATGAGTCGCGATGATAAGATAACCAGTATTTATTAACGAGGTAGTTCCACGCGAATCGAATTAAAAGCGTAATGTGTATATATAAAACTAACAACTTCAGTAGAATAATAAACACTGGCACCTTGTCATAAACCAAAAATCATCATCGACCATTGTTTTCAAATCTCCCTCCGGACAATAAAGTTCCGACTACACACATCCATAAAATCTGTTTACCATTCAAATAAATTTGTATCCACTTAAAACGCGATTTATTTCACACAGCCAAAAATGCGCAGACGATAAACAGTTCGTCAAATTTATTGTTGACGTTTTCGGTCCAGACGAGAGAATTCCGCGTCCTTTCGCCTTTGGACTTGACCATCAATAAGATAAATCTCGACCGTCGCGCTTTTTTCAAGTCAGAAATGTGTATGTGATCACTTAACACCGTCGTCATGATTAGCACTTCGTTATCAATCGAATGACGTGCCCATATTTCAGCCAATGGTTGACTAAATCTTGCTCACACCCTCTCTCCTCGTATAAATAAAGCTGAATGAAATCCAGCTGCACGAAACGACGAATTGCTTTTGCCGCAACACGTGTTAGCAAGTGTGGTTCTAATTAAAAAAGAAATATAGTAAGAGAGAGATGGGTAAAGGAGGAGAGAAAATGACCCTGCAGTCCGTCGGCACCGGGATAGACAACGGCGGAAAAAAACAAGAACACTCGTTGAAAAAAGTGAGTACCGAATAGACCGGAAGCTAGTAAAAACGCGCCTACCGTAAACCGGATACCGCTTATGATTTTAATAATTCGACAAATCGAGAGGGTCGTCTTTGTGTGACACCAGGAAACGTGAAACCTTTTGAATTTCCGACGGGATATCCTGTGGCTTTCCTCTGATAATTTTCCTCGAGTTTGTTCATTATTTACGACAACTATAAATTTAACCACGCTCGTAAATCCCTATAAATCACTGTCGCTTTCAGGGTTTAAACGGAAAATTGATTTTCGCCATCATCGCATCAGCGTTGGGGTCGTCATTCCAGCACGGGTACAACACCGGAGTGACCAACAACCCGGAAAAGGTAACTAACCCCGACCCGGTAACCCAATAGTGACACGAATCTTCCAGGTCCTGCTATCATGGATTTCCGAAGTCATGGGCAACCGCACCGGGATAGTCCCCGAGGAGGGATCAGTGACCATCGTGTACGCCCTCGCCGTCTCCATCTTCTGCGTCGGCGGCATGATCGGCGGCGTCTCCACCGGCTTCATCGCTAACCGCTTCGGCCGCAAAAAAGGCTTGCTCCTCAATAACATCTTGGTCTTCATAGCAGCTATTTTCTTCGGGTCTGCGAAAGCAGCGGCTTCGCATGAGCTCTTCATCCTGGCTAGACTCATCATCGGGGTCAACTCGGGTCTGAACGCCGGACTGGCACCCATGTACCTTGCCGAGATTTCACCCATCAACCTGCGCGGTGCCGTGGGTAGCGTGTACCAACTAGTCATCACCATCTCCATTCTAGTCGCGCAAGCTTTGGGCTTGAAGTACGCGCTGGGTACTCCTGAGCACTGGCCCGTGTTGTTCGCTCTAACCGCAGTACCCGCGATCTTCCAAATCCTGACACTACCCTTCTGTCCCGAATCGCCCAAGTACCTTCTGTTGTCGAAAGGCAAAGAGATGGAAGCTCAAAAAGCGCTAGGCTGGTTGAGAGGGAGTTTACAAGTGCACGAAGAGCTAGAGCAGATGAAAGCGGAGAACGACGCGGTGAAGTTGTTACCCAAAGTAACAGTAAGAGAGTTATTGACGAACAGGGTACTAAGAATCCCCCTCATCATTTGCTTGTTCGTCATGGTAGCCCAACAACTAAGCGGCATTAACGCTGTAAGTACACAAAAATAGTACCCGTTCGTGGTAAACTATCCCAACTTTGTAGGTCATCTTCTTCTCCACGTCCATTTTCCAACAATCAGGTCTCAAGGATGACAGCGCAACCTTCGCCACGATGGGTATGGGTGCTATTAACGTCCTCATGACCATCGTGTCGTTAGTTCTCGTGGAAAAAGCCGGACGGAAGACGCTTCTGCTTCTGGGTTTCGGCGGCATGGCCATCGACACGCTTCTACTAACAATTGCCATGAACTTCACGGTAAGTACTATTAATCTTGTCGCCGTTTTTCCTAACGGTACTTTCTAGTCAATCGAACCCAACTTGAGTTACCTCTGCATCGTCCTCGTCTTCATCTACATCATCATGTTCGCCTCCGGGCCTGGGTCCATCCCGTGGTTCCTGGTGGCCGAGCTTTTCAACCAATCGGCGCGACCCACGGCTGCATCCTTGGCCGTTTGTACCAACTGGACGGCGAACTTCCTCGTGGGTTTGGCGTTCCTGCCCATTATAGTAAGTACTAGAGTGTGGTGGTACCTCGGACTTCATTTTTTGTGTTGTAGAAAGCGATCGGGCCGTACGTCTTTATCATCTTCGTGGCTCTTAACGCCTTGTTCTTCCTCTTCATCTACAAGAAGGTCCCCGAGACCAAGAATAAAACGGTTGAAGAGATTTCGGCGCTGTTTAAGCAACAGATGTATGAGTAGACACAGTATTGGGCGATGGTTACTCGAATTGTGTAAATACTGACTGATAGTTGCAGTAGAGTAGGGCGAGGATTATTTTTGAATACATTCACATTTGTAGTAAATATTTATTGTAGCAGATCTTCAAATGAATAGTATTTTTGTGTAGTTAGAGGGATCTGTGCCGAAGCTCTCTGATAGACTTTAGGTTTAATTTATTTATTTATTTAGGTAGGTTGAGTTAGTTCGTGACTAATTACGCAATTGTACTATTCGGACTGAGTTAATATAAATACTTGTGACAAAATAAGCAACATAAGTGTTCGATGTGCATCAGGTTCTAACAAATTTTGTACAATTTATTTAAGCAATTTACGACCCTGACCGAACTAGTTAAATTCAATAATGATATTGCAAATAAATGCGTGTAGGTTTAGTGATTAGCTGTATTTTATTATCTGTTTATACATTTAATTCAGGTGAATAAATTTTAAGTTTTTCGACGTTTTGCTCAATCCCCCCTGTTTGACCTCTGTTCTCCTTGAAAGTCGTGAGGTTACCACAAGGACAACAACCAGTCTATCTTTTTTGCAAAACGGATACACTTTTCCAAAATAACCCTAAAACGAATCAATCCGCTCATTTCCACTCGCTGATGATATCATCGATGGTCCTGTTCTTGGTTTCTGGTACGAACTTCAAGATAAACAGGAAAAACACCACGTCCAAGGCGACGAAAATCAGGAACACGAACGGCCCGATTAAAGCCTAAAACGAGTACTCAAACGTGAAAACAACCGCTGTGGTACAATCGCACGCAAATGTTTTGAGCCTATGGGCGGGTCGTTTTTGCCTGCCCTCACCGAAGAAGGCGGTCCAAATCCTTCAAGGGCAGAATTTGTAGGTAGGCTCAACCTACAACGAAATTCACATTTTACCCTATAAAATTTTATTGACAATTTGGTAAGAAATATTTATGGCTCACACCAGTTCTCTCGAATTTGTCGGAGAAGATTTTGCAGGTAGTTGTTCCCATAAAATAATGGTCACTTTCGTTCGTGAGTAACGATGGTCCGGACAGGAATTATTTTGCTTTCTAACATCTTTCGACCAATTGTTCCGTATACAAAATTTCATCACTTTTTCAAATAAAATACTCTTAAAAAAAAAAACGATATTGTCGTTGAGTGACATGTAACTGGCATAATAATAAAAACGTGCCATTTTTGTTAACTGATATTTTTTTCATAAATGTCGCAAAATTATTAAATTTGTCTAATCATCCCCACCAATAATGTGATGACGTCACTTCAAATTTATGCATAGTAAATGGGTTTTAAATTGTATACAGTAACATAGTCCTACACATGTAGTGTATGACTCCGTGTTGAGTTTTTATCCGAAACATCCAGATTTTTGGAAAAAAAATCAAAATTATAAAACAATATTTTGCGATTTAATTTTGAATTTGCAAAATCGAATACTTTAAAATCTTGCAGATGTTTTAAAATCATGATAAACATGATACATTTTTAATTAAAATATATTTGCTTATCCCCTCTAAAAAATTTATGACGTCACCTCAAAATTTTGCAGAATAAATCCTATCTTAAATGTATAAAATATGATGAGTTTTATACTTGTGATTTATCACTGCATTAGTATTTTTTAGATTTGGTTATACAGGGTGTCTCAAAAAAGTTAATGACTGATTCAATTTATTTTATTGAAGAAATCAAGAATAGCAAAACTGAATACTTTGAAATATTGTAGATGTTTTGAAGTTTTTGTAAGCATGGTAACTTTTTCGAAAATTTGATTAATCAAATATGCGCAAAATCAAAAATCGGAAAAACTGAAATTCACTAATGCAAAAAACAGAAAATCGAAAAATACAAATCGTAAAAATCGAAAATCTAAAAATGGCTAACCAAAAAATCGAAAATTCAATGAATCAAATATCTAGGTCGATCGAAAAGTGGAAATTCACAAACCTCAAAAATCGAAAATTGAAAAACGGGAAAACCAAAAAATCGAAAAGTCAAAACTTTGTAATACTGAAAATTAAAAAAATCTAAAACAAAAATTAAAAAAAATCGGAAATTAAAATAATCAAAATATATAAAGTAGAAAAAATTGCAAAGCCTAAAAACTGAAACGAACAGAAAAATCGAAAAAGCAAAAAATTGGAAAAACAAAAATTCGAAAAATCTAAAATCGCAAAAGTGGAAAATCGAAAATCTGAATAAAGAAACTTGGAAATTCTGAAAATTGGAAAATCGAAAACCAAAAAATCGGAAAGTAACAAAATTGAAGTCTAACAGTTGAGAATGGAAAAATTGAAAAACCGAAAATTCTAAAAATCGACAATGGACAAATTGAAAATCGCAAAATTTAAATTGAAAAATTGAACATAGAAAAATCGATGAATTGAAAAATCGAAAATTGGACTGCTCAAATTTTCTAAAAATCGAAAAATCATAAAACTAAAAAATCCAAAATTCTAATCATCGAAAGTCTGGAAACTGAAAATCGAAAATTCTGAAAGGCGGAAAATAGAATATCGAAAAATTTAAAAGAAAGAAAATTGAAGTCTAAAAACCGAAGAATGGAAAAATTAAAAATCAAAAATTCGAAAAATCAAAACCGAAAAATTCAAAGATTTAAAAAGAAAATCGAAAAATCAAAAATCTGAAAATTGAAACTCGAAAATTTGGAAAATCGAAAAGTAAAAAAATTGAAGTCTTAAAGCTGGAAAATGGAAAACTGAACAATCGAAAATTCGAAAATCAAATATCGAAAGATCGAAAAGCCGAAAAATCGAAAATTTGATAAATCAGATATGCGAAAAACAGAAAATCTGAAAATACAAAACTGGAAAATTAAAAATCTAAAAATGGAAAAACCGAAAATCGAAAATTCAATGAATCTAATACGTAGGTCGATCGAAAAACTGGAAATTCACAAATCTGAAAAATCGAACATTTGCAAGATTGAAAAACCGAGAATTGAAAAATCAAAAAACCGAAAAATGGAAAAATCAAAAATCGAAAAATAGGAAAACCGAAAATTCGAAAATTCATAATATTGAAAACTCTAAAAGTCGACAATTCAAAAATCAAAAAACTGGAAAAATATAATCGAAAAATCGAAAAGTAAACAAATTGCAAAGCCTAAAAACTGACGAACAGAAAAATCGAAAAAATCGTAAAATCAAAAAGTGGAAAATCGAAAACTGGAAATTGAAAAATTGAAGATGGAAAATCGGAACATCGAGAATCGACAAACTAAAAAACCGAAAAATCGAAAAATTAAAAAATCGGAAATCGAAAATTGAAAAAAAAAAACGAAAATTCAAAAATCGAATAATCCGAAACTAAAATAATAGAAAAGTGGAAAAGTAAAAATTGCAAAGTCTCAAAACTGACGAACAGAACAATCGAAAAATAAAAAAAATCGAAAAATATCTAAACATGGAAAATCGAAAAATCGAAAATCGGAAAATGGAAAAACCGAAAAATCGAAAATCGAAAATTCGATGAAACAAATACTCGAAAAAGCGAAAAGTAAAATAATTGCAAGGCTTAAAAATTGAAAAATCAAAAAATCCAAAAAATGAAAATCGAAAAAACGACGATCGAAAAAAAATTCAAAAAGTGAAAAATCGGAAAGTAACAAAATTGAAATCTAAAAGCTGCAAATTGCAGAACCATAAAAACTGAAACAAACAGAAAAATCGAAAAACCACAAAAGCGGAAAAACGAAAATCGAAAAATCGCAAATCGAAAAATCGTAAAATCAGAAAATGGAAAATCGAATAATCGAAAGTTGAAAAATCGAAGGTCGAAAAATAAAACAACCGAAAAATCGAAAAATTTTATGATTAATGGAAAATCGAAAAATCGAGAATAGAATAATTAAAAAACCGGAAAATTGAAAAATCGGAAATCGAAGAATTAAAAACGTAAAATCGAGAATTCAAAAATCAAAAAAATCGGAAAGTAAAATATAGTCGAAAAATGCAAAAAAATTGCAAAGTCTAAAAACTGACGAACAGAAAAATCAAAAAATCTAAAAATGGAAAGACGAAAAATCGAAAATTGAAAGAATGGCAAATTAAAAAATCGAAACATCGAAAAATCAAAAAAACGAAAAATTAAAAAATCGAAAAACGAAAAAACTGAAAACTCGAAAAATCAAAATACCGCAAATTTGAAAAATCAGAAAATTAGAAAGTAATAAAATCGAAAAGTTGACAGAAAAATGGAAACTGAAAAATCTAATTCGATGAAACTGTTGGTCGATAAAACGAAAAATCGAAAATCGAAGTGACCTTTTTTTGAGACAGGCTGTATAAGTAAATCTAAAAAATATTACTGCAATGATAAATCACACGTATAGACTCATCATATCAAATTTTACGATGACGTCATGCATTTTTTGGCGAAGATAAGCAAATACATTTTGATCGTGGCTTTGAAAGTATTCTTCGACTTTCGTTCCATTTCAAAATTTACTCTTTGTATATTTCAGTGGTCACGAGTTCACTAACTACGCTGAAGTATGCAAAGATTAAATTTGTCACCGAAAAGATGTCGGAAGTAATAAATTATCCTATCGGTCGAAGAACGTTCGGTCCGGTGTTACACCTCGACCCAAGAGAGACCGCAGTAAAGGATAACAAATGAAACGGATAAAATAAAGCGTCAAATATGATTGATAAACTTTAAACCAAAATTAAGAAGCATATAAACTGAACTTTTTTTTTTGATTTTTGAAATGTAGTACACTTCAAAAAATATCCGTGACTTACTTTAATGTGAATTTTATAACTATGGTCGGGACAATTAGACCTAATATTAGTGTGATTTTGAGCATATTCTCGATGTTATTAGAGCAGGACAGGTTTCTTTTTCTAACTAATTGACAAGATTTCAAAGTACTCAGTTTTGCAATTCTTGATTTCTTCAATAAAATAAATTGACTCAGTCATTTTTTTTGAGTCACCCTATATGTATAAACAAATCCAAAAAATATTAATGGAATGGTAAATCACAAGTATAGACTCATCATATTCAGAACATTTTAGATAGGGTATTTATAAAATTAAAACTAATTCAGGTTAAGAATTTGGTCAACACGTAAATTTCGTTGTAGTTTGAGCCAACCTACAAATTCTGCCCGCCTCCTTCGGTGACGACCGGCAAAAATGATCCGCCCATAGACTCAAAACATTTGCGTGCGATTGTACCTACCTCAATCGAAGGAAACGTCAGCGTGACGATAAAATTGGCGATCCAGTTAGTCGGTACAGCCAAAGACACAGCAGTCGGTCTAGCAGCTTGGTTAAAAATCTCGGTTACCAGAAACCAAGGAATCGAGCCCGCACCAGCCGCAAACAGGATGATGTAAATAAAAGTCAGGATGATACAAACCCAAGGAAGGAAGTCGTTTTGGTCCTGAAATCGATCCATGAAATATACGCACCTAAAGCAATGATAGTACCGCAAAGTATAGAGTTAGGGACAAGAGCAAGGTATCGATAGCCATTCCTCCAAACCCGATCAAAAGAAGGGTTTTTCGTCCGGCCACTTCCACAAGGTACAGCGACACGATGGTCATCAGCACGTTGACAACGCCGATCCCGATCGTGGCGTACTTCGGGTTGTCCCCTTTCAAGCCAGCTTTTTCGAAAGTATCCGTGGAGTAGAAAATCACCTGAATGGAGAACGTAACACCCAACAGCACCAAGCGTAGTACTTACGGCGTTGATGCCACTGAATTGCTGCGCCAGCATGATGACCACAGCTATGATCAACGGAATCCTCAGCTGTCGGGTCTTGTACATGTCTGACAGCGTGATTTTCGGCAAAGCTTTAACAGCGGCGTCTTCAGACTTCATTAGAGTCATGTCGGCGGACACGTCGTCGCTCATTCGGAGAAACTTCAACGACTGCTCGGCTTTTTGCTCATTGCCTTTGACCCCGATGAGGTACCGCGGCGACTCCGTGCAGAACAGCAACGTAATGACCTACAACACCGTAACAATCCCGATACAAAGTGTGCTCTCACCTGGAATATTGCGAAAAATATCGGGAGGATGAATATGTATGGCCAGTATGTGTGATTCCCGAGGACATAATGCAACCCGACAATCTGGGCTATCAAGATCGATATCGTGATGACGAGCTGGTAGACGCTGGAGACGGCACCTCGTAGACTCACGGGTGACACTTCGGACAAGTACATCGGGCAAAGACCGGCGTTCAAGCCGCAGTTGATCCCGATGAAAAACCGACCCACTATCATCACCTCCAGAGAGGTGATGGGTTTAGCAATCCCCATGAAAATCGTAGCGACGAGAACCAGGAAGTTGTTGAAAAAGAGCCCGCCTTTGGGCCCGAGTTTGTTGGCGGTGACGCCAACTATAAGACCCCCGATGGTACCCCCCACGTTCATTATAGACGTGGTGAGACCCCAGAGGAGATTCAAAGTGCTGGTGTCCATGTACGACCCGTACGAGCTCTGGTAGGTTTCGTTCAACCACTCTTTTAAAACCTACAACGAGGAATAAAAACCGGTCTCACTAAACCCCGCTTACGTACTTCCTGCGGTACGTTTATCACTCCAGTGTGATAACCATGTTGGAAACCGGAACCCAAAGCAGCTGCTATTATCGCAAAGATAAGCTTTACGTTAAATTTTTGACTCTTGTCGTCTTCCGCAGGCATTACAACCGTTTAGCACAACACCACACACAAAAACAAAAATAAATAGAAAAAGTGTGACACAATAGTGACAAACGAACAGAAGCTGCGTCGTAGATAGTGCGATTGAAGGATTAGCTTCCGGGGTACTATTTTGACAAAATGACGGTGTGTCGTTTTAAATTTATTTTCACGGTACTTGCCATTTCTGTGGGTTCGGGTTTCCAGCACGGGTATCATTCCGGGATTATCAACGTCCCTGCTAAGGTCAGTACTAACGTCGCCTAAAACCCCACCGAATTTCTCCGTAGGTGTTTCGACAGTGGATCAAAACAATCAAAACGGAAAGACTGCTCGGCCAAACGCCTCCCGAGAGGGAAATCACGATCATATGGTCAGTGGCAGTGGCGGTGTTTTCCATCGGGGGCATGCTTGGAGCTTGCTTGATCGGGTACTTTTCGGACAGGTGCGGCCGCAAGAGGAGCATCATGTGGAACAACGGGATAATTCTGTTGGCCATCGGGTTCACGGTGTTCTCGAAGTCCATGAAGGCCTTCGAGCTGTTTATTTTCGGGCGATTTCTTGCTGGGATCAACGCGGGACTGAACGGAGGGCTTTGCCCGATTTATTTAGTCGAAATTGCACCCGACTACTACCGCGGAGCCGTAGCTAGCGTCTACCAGCTCGTCATCGTCGTGTCGATTCTCATATCTCACATCGCTGGGTTGTTGTTAGGAACGGACGACATGTGGCCGTTAATGTTCGCGGTGGCTGTTATTCCAGCAGTGTTCCAGGTGAGTTTCGGGTATCGAGAAACACAAGACAAGTGAGGATTTGCAGATGGTGTGTCTGTGGTTTTGTCCCGAGTCGCCGAGGTATCTTCTAATGCAACGAGAAAGTGAAAAGAAAGCCAGACGGGCACTGATGTGGATAATAGAAGACATAGACCTCGTTAACACAGAAATGGAAGACTTGATGACGGAAGACAATCTAGTGCGGCAAATGCATGCGTCTTTGTTGAGGAGGGTCTTGGGTATTCCGTCGCTCAAAAATTCCTTGATTATGTGTGCGGTTTTGAATGTTAGCCAACAATTGTGTGGCATTAACACTGTAAGTAGTTGCACTTTTTAAAAAATTTGTACTCATGTTGCACCTAGATGGTGTACTTTTCTACCGAGATCTTTGGAGGAGTGGGGATGACAGAGGACGCTGCAACATGTACCACTTTAGGGTTTTCTAGTGTGCTAATCGTTATGACAGTACTTAGTCTTTTTCTTGTTGATAGTGTTGGTAGACGACGAATGATGTTATTTAGTTTTACAGGAATGGCTATATTTACTTTAATATTGTTGTATACTTTAGTTGCGGCAGTGAGTATTAGATGGTATCGCAACAGGATTTACATTTTTGGTTCCAGAGTAGTGCAAACGCTTCGGGTTATATGAAATATATCGCCGTTGTGTTTGCTTGTTTCTTTGTAGCGAGCTATGCCGTAGGAGCTGGTCCAATCCCTTGGTTCATCACAGCAGAACTGGTAGTGTATCCGGCTAGAAGTCTAGCTGTTTCCATAACTGTGTTCTGCAACTGGGTGGCAAGTTTTATGGTCGCCCAAACCTTCCTATCGCTACAGGTACAACGACACAAGTGCTACAAAATAACCACAGATGATTTCTAGGAAGCAATCGACAACTACGTCTTCACGATCTTCATAATACTAGACATTTTCTTCTTCTGCTATACTTTGAACTTTCCAGAAACCAGCAGACTGTCAGCTCTAACAATAATCGAAATGTATCAATAGCAATAAAAATTACCCAGTCAGATGTCTCTTCTTGACACTACTAGTGTCACTTTTACAACCATTTGACACTTGGGTCTGTCCTATGGGTAATTACAAATTTGTGTTTGCGGTCATAAGCGCGGCTGGAAACTCTGGATTCAACTATGGCTTCCAAGGCTCCATCCTCAACATCATCCCATCGGTAACTTCGCTTTCGTTGTGTGACACTTCCACTGAATTTGTTTCAGGTCGTGATAGACTGGTACACCCAGATCCGCATAGACCGCAAGCTAAACCTCGTGGGGTTTTACGACACCGAGGTCTTCGCCCCGTTCATTCTCGCCTGCTTCTCCCTAGGAGGCATCTTCGGTAGTCTACTCGTTTTCATCTGTGCCCAATTCATCGGTCGCAAAAACAGCATCATCTGCAGCAACTTCATCATTTTGATGGGTTTGCTCCTACAAAGCCTTGCCTATGTAACCGAGTCGTACGAAGTATTCATAATCGGGCGATTCTTGACCGGTTTATCCGCCGGCTTGCTCAGCGGGGTAGCCCCCATGTACTTGGTGGAGATTTCCCCGTACTGCGTCCGCGGCACCGTGGGTAGCGTCTACTACGTCATGGTGGCGGCGGCTACAGCGTTGGCGAACATCCTAGGTTTGCACCAGGTCCTAGGGTACTACAACACCTGGCCGTGGCTCTACGTGTGTTGCTTGCTCCCGTCGTGCCTCCAAGTAAGTGTTATCCAGCGTTTCGCACCCAAGGCAGCGGTTTTAGATCGTGACGATGTCGCTGTGCCCCGAGAGCCCCCGATACCTACTCATAGACAAAGAAGACGACGACGAAGCCGAAGAAGCGTTGGCTTGGCTGCGGGACGACGAAGACATCGACCACGAAATGAACGAATTGAGGGAGGAAGCGGCCATGTTGAAGGACATAAATCGGGTGACGTTCGCGCGGTTGTTCAAAGACCAGACTTTGAGGTCACCCATGATCATCACCACGGTTATCTTGATGGGGCAACAACTTTGTGGCGTGGAAACGGTAGGTCGTAGTCTCTTACTACCACCGGTAATCATGCTGATTTAAGATGTTGCACTTCTCGGTCTTCGTGTTCCACATGATGGGCTACAATCTTGGAGAAGCGATCGATCTTTCGATAGGACTGGCCTGTGCGAATCTAGCGTTGGCGATTATTTGCATGATCATTGTCGATAAAGTCGGACGCAAGATTTTGCTTATGGGTAGCTTAGGAGGGATCATTATGAGCTCGGCCGTTTTGTCTCTAACCGTCTTACTTAGGGTATACTTTGACTATTCCAATTCGAGTTCACCGGGCTTAAATTTCAGAGTTCGAGCGAAGGAGTGGAAGACATTATTCACTTGTGTTCGTTTTTCGTTTATCTTTTCGTGGCAATGTTCGCGCTTGGGGCAGGTCCCATACCGTGGTTTTACGCAGCCGAGCTCAATAATCAACTGGCCCGACCAATGGTCATGACCATAGGTTTAACCCTCAACTGGCTCATCCAGTTCGTGGTTATCATGACTTTTCTGCCGTTGCAGGTATGTCGGAAAAAGTTTTTCCTACTAACTTTTGCAAAGGTTTCAGTCGACAACTACGTGTTCATGATTTATTTTGGCTTCGACATAGCAGTTATCGTCTTCGTTGTGTTGACGATGAGGGAGACAATGAACCTGGAATCCATAGACATAGCGGAGCTATTTTACTAACGCCAATTTGAAAACACGATGGAAGGTAATCAAGTTGAACAACAAAAACTAGAACGAATAAAAACCTGAAACAAGTATTGCCTCCAGTTATTTTAATTACGACATTCCTAGTCTAGGTAGCCTGTGTTTCCTGTCAATAGTACCTTATTCTTGTCACCATGACACTCCACTGACAGTGACATGACTTTCAAGCAAATCAATCCAAAATTCGCCTTGGCCGTCCTCTCCACATCCATAGGTTCCGTTCAACTCGGCTACCACTACAGCGTCAGCAACAACGCTCACCTGGTACTTACCTCTACTCCTTCCACCACTCCACCTTGATCCTCATTTCTAGGTCATTGGAGACTGGATCGAGCAAATCAAGAAAAGAAGCTCCAAGAAGCTTCCCTCTGACAAAGACATCTCGCTAACCTTGTCGATAATAACCTCGATATTTTTTCTGGGGGGGATGTTGGGCAGCGGCATGACTGCCTTCTTTGCCAACAAACTAGGGCCCAAAGGAGGCATACTTTACAACAACGTCATCATGTTGGCCGCAGCCGGTTGCTTCTTCGTTAGCCGACTCAGCGAGTTGTTAGAAATGTTCATCGTAGGGAGATTTATCGTGGGCGTACATGTGGGGTTGAATTCGGGCCTGTGCCCGATTTATCTCGCAGAGATCGCCCCTTTGCGTATGCGAGGGTCGACGATAGCGATATATTCGCTCTTTGCTGTGTTCTCTTACAGCCTGTCGCAGATTTTTTTAACCAAAGAACAGTTTCTCGCCGAAAAGTACTGGTACTACTTTGTGGCAATGGGCATCTTGCCTGGGTTTATGCAAATAGGAGCGTTGATATGGTGTCCAGAGTCGCCGAATTTTATTTTCATTAGAGAGAAAGACGAAGCTAGGACTAGGACAGCGTTCAGGTGGTTGCGAAATTCTGAAGATGTACTGGAAGATATGAATAGATTAAGAGAGTACAAAAGTACGTTGAGCAAACTACCGGAAATATCGTTCAAGAATTTGTTTGCTAAACAGCTGTATAGAAACCCTTTGATTATAGCTTTAGCGATGGTAGCCACCCAGCAGTGCTCTGCGATGGAAATAGTGAAACGCGTGAGCTATCATGTACCTACTTATACTACCATCAGTGTTTCAGGTTTTGTATTATTCTGACTCATTGATGTCTGATGCTGGCTTCACTTCGTTACAAGTAGACACTACTAACACACTCATGGCGGTATTTCTAGTACTGACGACGTGCCTGTGTATTTTAACGATTAACGTAATAGGTCGTCGAAGTTTATTTCTTATGAGTCTGTGTGGTTTGGTCATGAATACGGTTTTCTTGTTGATAGTACTCGGACTCTCGGTATAAAACTAACTAAAATATAAGTAGTATTTTTTTAGTATTTGATTTTTAGCGTGATCGTGACGTGAAATTATATAGCAACAATATAACAGCTATTGCTTTGGTCGCCCTTACTGCTTCGTACGGTCTAGGTACTGGTGTTATTCCTGAAGTGGTAACGGTCGAGCTGTTTCACTATCTAGCACGACCCTTTGCCAATTCGGTAGCAATAACCTTCGGATGGTTATGTGCCCTTGTAATTAATATAGTATACATTCCAGTGAAGGTAAAATCGTTGATCACAGTAATTCTTGTCTGAATTGTATTACCTATAGCACCACTTGGGAATCTATACATTCTTACTAAACCTCGTGGTGGACTTTCTGCTGTTTGTGTTTATGCAGTTGTTCCTACCAGAAACTAATGCGATGAACTCGAAACAAATTATCCAGTTGTTTTATACTCTAGACGAGGATAGTAGTCCTGACGTGGAAACAGTATTATGAATTGTACAAGAAAACTGTCTACAAATATAAGTACTTGAAAAATATAGTCTTGTTAATTTTCATCCAATCGTGCAATGCCTCGTGTGACCTGACTGAATTGACCAGTCACAGCCGAGTTATCTATAAGTGTTCTGCAAAACTCTTCAGTATGTACGAAACAGTTCGGCACTACGTCACTGGCTCGTTAGCTCAGGTGGTTAGAGCACCGCACTAAGTAACCATGAGCGGAGGTCGTGGGTTCGAATCCCACATGAGCCCAACCTTTTGCTAAAATTTTAGTTTGGTCTTTGTAAATTGAAACGCTAAATATTTTATAATACTGTGTTAAATTCCCAGCGTTGCAACACTGACGTTAAAGTCAAAATTACTTGAACTGACCAATCGCGGCCAAGTTTTCTGCAAATGTTAAGCGTCTGTCTGAGGTTTATAATGGATAGTCTAATTAGTAAAATAATTACATATAAAAATTTGAAGGTGGAAAGTTCGAACCGTATCTATAGCACAGTTCATATAATAATAGTGGCTGCATCATTATAACTGGCTCGTTAGCTCAGGTGGTTAGAGCACCGCACTCTTTGAACATTGAGCGGAGGTCGTGGGTTCGAATCCCACATGAGCCCTTTTTTTTGCGATAACGAAACACAAAACAGCAAAAATTTTAATCTCTGACTAACGTTGCGTCAGTGATGAGTTAATTTCAACAATTAAAGCTACACGCACGACATCTATTGGCTCGAAATTGATTTGAACTTGATCAGTTGAAAGGGAGCTTTTTATGCTTTATAATTAGCACTTAATTGATTAAAAACTAATCAATTTCGTCTTGATTTTAGCTGTAATAAACGATTGTAACATCCAAGTGGGCATTGATTTGTCCCGCCTTGTTAGATGACGATTTCGAACCATCTCCAAGGCAACGAAAGGTCAAACGTCGTAGGTGATTATTTTGACAGATGACACATAAACAAACCACTCTAGTAGTGGTTTGTTTATGAGACGACATATTAACCATATTAATTAAAACTTTAATAAAAGTTTTATTAAAGTACCTATTATTATAAATAAGAGAAAAATCTGCAACATTTTAAAATTTTAAGGGTCAAGGATATAATGTTATGATTCATATGATCGTACATACATGTATACTGAAAGAATAACCATTGAAATCAACTGGCTCGTTAGCTCAGGTGGTTAGAGCACCGCACTTTTCGAACGCTGAGCGGAGGTCGTAGGTTCGAATCCTACATGAGCCCAATTTTTGCTTTTTTGCTTAAAATTTATGTACTGCAACAAAAACTGTAGAGCCACAAATAAAATTTTAATACCTGAATAACGTTGGATCAGTACTAAGTTAATTTCTATTAGTTCGAAATTGACTAATTGAAAACGAGTTTTATATAATTGTTGGACGTTGATTTTGACCTGCAATGATGGTAATAAAAACTGTCTATTGTTTGAGGGAGTCACAACTGTACTCAACAATATAATGCCTGAAAACTTCATAAATATTATGTTATGAAATATTACTCAACAACAGACCTATGATGCAATGGCTCGTTAGCTCAGCTGGTTAGAGCACCGCACTAATTGGAACAATGAGCGGAGGTCGTGGGTTCGAATCCCACATGAGCCCTTCAGTTTTTTAACAAAATATTTTTGTTTCCTGAGCGTAACCTAAGTATTGGAATCGAGTCCATTGATTATGACTGCAACTTCTAAGTTATCGAGACGTTTCAAAAAATATCTCTCCCGTTTCTGTCTACCGTTTGTCCGGATTTTTATTAGGTAGACCAGTAGACCGACTGTTTTATTTTTAATTTACTACTTTAGTACTTGTTAAGATAAGACTGAACAATATTAAGAAGCACTAGAATGAAGAAAGAAGAATTGCTTGCTTATAAAAGTCTCTCCAGGAAAAAGTTGAACTTAGCCCCGCCCACCCACCCGTTCTCTCATTTTTCTTCTAAACTAAAAAAATCTTAAAGTAAATAGCCTAACAAAAAAATTACGGTTAGCCATTTCTTTTCTTTTTCAACAACCCCACTCCCATTCTCCCATAGAATATATAAATAACCCCGCCCACCCACCCCGCCTCCATTTCATAATTCATTTTGTCTGGTATGAATGAAAGTGGATCCCACACTGAACAGAAATAAAATTAGTCCTTAGAATGACAAGAGCGCGGGTGGGTGGGTGGGGTTAGTACTTGCTAAGATAAGACTGAATTTGGCAAATAATATAATTAATGATTAAATATTCTTTGAATTTTATAAAATAAGATACTCCTGTACATGTAGTTTATGAATCCGTGTTGAATTTGTACTCTAAACATCCACATTTTCCGAAAAAAAAAAAGAAAATTTTATAAGCAATATACCGGGTGTCTGGAAAATAGCCGATTAACTCTTCAGTTAATATTAATAATAATTATTAATAAAACAAGATGTTACTTTTCATTAATAAATAAACCAAAAAAATGAGTAAGGCATTTATAAATTATAAACAAAAACGAAACCAACAAAAGAAAAATCCATTAAACATTAAAGCATAACCAACTACACTAGAGAAGATGTTCAAAATTCCTGCCTTCTAAGTAAGTTCCTAATTTTTCCAAATTTTGATAATTTTTTGTAAAAGTTAGTCATCAATACTCTTGCTAAAACAAAACTGATTTTGGCAATGACATACCCTATAGGAAAAGAGATGGTGGGTGGGCGGGGCTAGTACTTGTTAAGATAAGACTGATTTTCGCAAATGACATATCATCCTCTAAGAAAAGACAAAGTGGGTGGGCGTTTTGAAGTTATGTTTCATCAAATTTGAAAAAACTTTGGTAGCTCAAAAATGACACCTTCCTACGTATTCGTCATTCTGTACTAAATCTGTAAACTTGTTGTCTAAAGTAGAAAGCTTCAAACTGTAATTCGGAATCTTGTGTCGTTTTGAAGTTGTTTCCTTAAATTATAAAAAATGCTGTTTCATTCTCTGCACATATCATAAGGTCATCAATTCATCACTCATTACATCATACAATATTTGATTAAATAACACTGGGTTTAATACTCGACCTTGTCCCAGTCCAACTCTGGCTTGGATATTAATATAAATAGTTATTCAAATTTTCTAATTCTTTAGATTCGACTCTCCTTCGACGTTTCATTAAAGATCTTCATCAAATGTTCATTTTATTTTCTTACTGCATATTTTATCATATTTATCTTCAATTTTTCTTGTTCCGTTTGTTCTTTATATTTTTCCGTATTTTCTTCGTCGTCATATCCTCCTCTGGGTTTCCTTCCTGTCCCATATTCAGTATTTCGTCAAAATACTTGTTCCTTCCAACGCTTTGTTGTGTCTTCTTGATCATTTAATATTCTATCACATTTTAATTTTTAATATGTGCACCCTGTTAACTTTCGTTGGTGTTTTTAGTGTTTTATAAAAAAGCTTCTGATCTCCATGTCTATCTCCATTCATTTTACAAATTCTCAACAGTTTCAGTATTATCTTAACAGGTACTAGTCCCGCCCACCCACCCTCTCTTCTCTTGGAAGGTATCTCATTTGCCAAAATCAGTCTTATCTTAGCAGGTGCTAGCCCCGCCCACCCGCCCTCTCTTTTCTTAGAGAGTATCTGATTTGCCAAAGTCAGTCTTATTTTGGCAAGTACTAGCCCCACCCACTCGCCCTTTATTTTCTTAGAAAATATGTCATTTGCCAAAATCAGTGTTATCTTAGCAAGTACTAGCCCCGCCCACCCACCCTATCTTTTCTTAGAGGATATCTCATTTGACAAAATCAGTCTTATCTTAGCAGCTACTAACCCCGCCCACCCACCCTCCCTTTTCAAATAGCGTTTGTCATTTGCCAAAATCGGTCTTAATTTAGCAAGTAGGCGAGCTAGTATTTGCTAAGATAAGACTTATTTTCGCAAATGACTTACCCTTTAAGAGAAGGTGGGTGGGCGGGACGAATACTTGCTAAGATAAAACTGATTTTGGCAAATGACATACCCTATAAGAAAAGACTGGGTGGGTGGGCGGTTCTGGTAGCTGTCAAGATAAGACTGATTTTGGCAAATCACATAGGTTCTAAGATAATAAAGGGTGGGTGGGTGGGGCTAGTACTTGACAAAATAAAACTGATTTTGGCAATGACATACCCTCTAAGAAAACACAGGGTGGGTGGGCGGGGCTAGTACTTGCTAAGATAAGTAAGACTGATTTTCGCAAATGACATATCCTCTAATAAAAAACAGAATGGGTGGGCGTTTTGAAGTTATGTTCCGTTAAATTTGAAAAAACGCTGGTAGCTCAAAAATGACACCTTTCTACGTATTCGTCATTCTGAACTAAAACTGTAAACTTATTGCCTAAAGTAGAAAGCTTCAAAGAATCGAATGCTTCAAACCGTAATTCGGAATCTTGTGTCGTTTTGAAGTTGTATCCTCAGATTATAAAAAATGCTGTTTCATTTTCTGCACATATCATAAGGTCATCAATTCATCATTCATTACATCATCCAGTATTCTATTAAATAACACTGGCCTTGATACTCGACCTTGTCCCAGTCCAACTCTGGCTTGGATATTAATATAAATAGTTATTCAAATTTTCTAATTCTTTAGATTCGACTCTCCTTCGACGTTTCTTTAAAGATCTTCATCAAATGTTCATTTTATTTTCTTACTGCATATTTTATCATATTTGTCTTCAATTTTTCTGGTTCCGTTTGTTCTTTATATTTTTCAGTATTTTCTTCATCGTCATATCCTCCTTTTGGTTTTCTTCCTGTCCAATATTCAATATTTCGTCAAAATATTCTTTCCAACGCTTTGTTGCGTTGTTGATCTTCTAATATCTGTCACATTTTGATTTTAAATATGTGCACCCTGTTTATCTTCCGTTGGTGTTTTAGTGCTTTATAAAAAAGCTTCTGATCTCCATATCTACATATCTTGCTCCATTCATTTTACAAATTCTCAACGGTTTCAGTCTTATCTTAGCAGGTACTAGCCCCGCCCACCCACCCTCTCTTCTCTTGGAAGGTACCTCATTTGCCAATATCAGTCTTATCTGAGCAGGTTCTAGCCCCGCCCACCCGCCCTCTCTTTTCTTAGAGAGTATCTGATTTGCCAAAATCAGTCTTATCTTAGCAGCTGCTAGCCCCGCCCACCCACCCTCTCTTTTCAAAGAGGGTTTGTCATTTGCCAAAATCGATCTTAATTTACCAGGTAGGCGGGCTAGTACTTGCTAAGATAAGACTTATTTTCCATAAATTAAAAATCCAGAAGACTGATTTTGGCAAATGACATTCCCTCAAAAAAAAACGGGTGGGTGGGCGGGGCCAGTACCTGCTAAGATAAGACTGATATTGGCAAATAACCTACTCTCTAAGAAAATGAAGGGTAGAGGGTATATCATTTGGCAATATCAGTTTTTGTCTTAACAAGTATTAGCCCCGCCCACCCGCCCTTTATTGTCTTAGAGCGTATGTGATTTGCCAAAATCAGTCTTATCTTGACAGCTACTAGCCCCGCCCACCCACCCCCTCTGCTCTTAGAGCGTATGTGATTTAGCAAAATCAGTCTTATCTTGGCAGGTAGTAGCCCCACCCACCCACCCACCCTCTCTTCTCTTAGAGGGTACCTCATTTGCCAAAATCAGTCTTATCTTAGAAGGTACTAGTCCCGCCCACCCGCCCTCTCTTAGAGGGTATGTCATTTGGCAAAATCAGTTTTATCTTGGCAAGTATTGGCCCCGCCCACCCACTCTTTACTTTCTTCGAGGTTATGCCATTTGGCAATATCAGTTTTATCTTAAGTACTAGTTCCAACCACCCGTCGTTTATTTTCTTATAGGGTTTGTCATTTGCCAAAATCGGTCTTAATTTAGCAGGTAGGCGAGCTAGTACTTGCTAAGGTAAGACTTATTTTCGCAAATGACATACCCTTTAAGAGAGGGTGGGTGGGCGGGACGAGTACTTGCTAAGATAAAACTGATTTTGGCAAATGACATACCCTATAAGAAAAGACTGGGTGGGTGGGCGGGGCTAGTAGCTGTCAAGATAAGACTGATTTTGGCAAATGACATACCCTATAAAAAAGACCGGGTGGGTGGGCGGGGCTAGTACCTGCTAAGATAAAATTGATTTTGGCAAATGACATACTCTCTAAAAAAAACGGGTGGGTGGGCGGGGCTAGTACCTGCTAAGATATGACTGATATTGGCAAATGACGTACTCTCTAAGAAAATGAAGGGTAGAGGGTATATCATTAGGCAATATCAGTTTTATCTTAGCAACTAGTAGACCCGCTTTTTATTTTCTTAGAGAGTAGGTCATTTGCCAAAATCAGTCTTATTTGGTCAAGTACTAGCCCCACCCACCCACCCTTTATTTTCTTTGAGCCTATGTGATTTGCGAAAATCAGTCTTATCTTAGCAAATATTAGGGGGCGGGGCGCCCACACACGCTGTTCTTATTCTTCAATTGAGATCCACCTTTCATTCGGATTAGACAAAAAGAATCAGTGAAAAGGAGGCAGGGTGGGTGGGCGGGGTGAATTATATTTTTTGTAAAGTGAGAATGGAAACTCATAGAACCTAGGCTGTTAAAAAAACCGGGTGGGTGGGCGGGGCTAGTACCTACTAAGAGAAGACTGACATTGGCAAATGATCTACTCTCTAGGAAAATGAAGAGTAGAGCGTATATCATTTGGCAATATCAGTTTTATCTTAGCAACTGATAGACCCGCTTTTTATTTTCTTAGAGAGTAGGTCATTTGCCAAAATCAGTCTTATTTTGGAAAGTACTAGCCCCACCCACCCACCCTTTATTTTCTTAGAGCGTATGTGATTTGCCAAAATCAGTCTTATCTTGACAGCTACTAGCCCCGCCCACCCACCCTCTCTTTTTTTAGAGAATATCTTATTTGCCAAAATCAGTCTTATCTTAGCAGGTACTAACCCCACCCACCCTCCCTCTCTTTTCTTAGAGGGTGTGTCATCTGCCAAAATCAATTTTATCTTAGCAGGTACTAGCCCCGCCCACCCACCCTCTCTTTTCTTAGCGGGGATCTCATTAGCCAAAATAAGTCTTATCTTAGCAAGTACTAGCCCCACCCACCCACCCACTCTTCTCTTAGAGGGTACCTCATTTGCCAAAATCAGTCTGATCTCAGAGGGTCCTATCCCCGCCCACCCGCCCTCTCTTAGAGAATAAGTCATTTGGCAAAATCAGTTTTATCTTGGCAATTATTGGCCGGCTGACTTTGGCAAATGACATACCCTCTAAAAAAAGACTGGGTGGGTGGGCGGGGCTAGTACCTGATAAGATAAAACTGATTTTGGTAAATCACATACTCGCTAAAAAAAAACGGGTGGGTGGGCGGGGCTAGTACCTGCTAAGATAAGACTCTAAGAAAACGAAGGGTAGAGGGTATATCATTTGGCAATATCAGTTTTATTTTAGCAACTAGTAGACCCGTTTTTTATTTTCTTAGAGAATAGGTCATTTGCCAAAATCAGTCTTATTTTGTCAAGTACTAGCCCCACCCACCCACCCTTTATTTTCTTAGAACCTATGCGATTTGCCAAAATCAGTCTTATCTTGACTAGCCCCGCCCACCCACCCTCTCTTCTCTTAGAGGGTTTGTCATGCGCCAAAATCGGTCTTAATTTAGCAGGTAGGAGGGCTAGTACATACCTACTAAGATAAGACTTATTTTAGCAAATGGCGTATCCTCTAAGAAATTGAACTAAATTATTATAAGAAAAGACACTAAAGGCTCCAAAACACTTGCACCTCAGGATTGTTTTAAATTTAAAAAAAAAGGGTCCCAAAATTAAATCAAAAACAAGTCAGGTCAGAATTTTCCAAAAATAGAACACCAAAGTCCCCCAAAATTGTTTTAAACAATTTACAAAAAAAATTTCAATGGGTTTCCAAAATAATCGGTACCCGGATTAAAAAAACAAAAACACTGCGGCACTGAAGACTTTTTCAAATTCATAAAAAATAAAACACCGAAAGCTCAAGATTTTTTCAGGTTCATCCAGTAACAAAACATCACATTCCTTTAAAAACCAGGGGACCTAAAATTAACTGCGGACATTTTAAACGTAGGGTTTTGTAAACTTTGATAAAATTTTTGATATGTCAAACATTGTTATCCAATGGAATTTTATCAAATTATTACAAGAACAACACAGCCATATCTTTATAGTGAGAAATTGAAGATGCCACATTTTTTCCCGCGCCTCCTTGGAATTTGGGCTAAATGGGTATTAATTGCGCCACTTTACAGAGGTTATTACAAAACGAAAATCGCAAAATTTTATAACTTTTTATAGAAGCAGGATTTATTGGACTATAACTACTTCAAGTCAAATAACTTCTATCCAAATAACCTTGGACCAATTTTTTCTCAACACTAAAGGTTGAGTTATTGAGAAAACAGTTCTTACATCTACAATAAAAAAAAAAAACAGGGAATTAGAATTGAATATCGAACTCTCAGTTGGTAAACCTGTTATATAAAATATATTTGTCCACGTGCTTTAACCAATGAAATGGGCTTAAAAATATTTGACACCACGTCGTCCTTACGCTTTTTGGCAACAAATCGATTTTACCTGTATTGTATACGTTCGGTCAAACAAAAATAACTCTTAAGAACATTTGACGTACGGGTGTTTCGTAGAAAGCTTGTGTTTTAGTAATTACGTTGTTCATTTAGTTTGTGGAATGAATATCACTTCCTGTGACTGATATCAGATCTCCGACAAAGATAGAAAACGTCTAATCGCTATGTGTTGAACTGAGATGAAAATAGGGTGCTCGTTGCACTTGTTTACTTCTGTGGAAATTTGACTCATACTCCAGACTGAACCGAAACAATGATGTGAACTCTGAAACATCGTTAATAAACACGTAATAAACAACTAACAATTATTTTCAATGTACTTGAAGCAGTAAACAAAACGTAAACGTGAGAAAAAAAAGTATTTAATATTACAACCAATATGATACAAATATTAATAACAATAATACTAGCATTATAATATATTACACAAGTTATTTACATGGAGGAATTTAACCAATAAACTTCAATAAAAAAATTTAAGTAAAACTCGTAAAGTATCTTAAAGGAAAACGCGTTTTCTTGTTACAAGGTTTCCTGAAACTACTAGACTAAACCTGACGTGCTCTACAAAAAATTCCCTTAATTTTTCTAAAAATATTGAATAGAATCCTGCGCCGATCTCCTGAACTCGAAAAACTAAAACCAAAAACAAAAAAATAGAAAACAAAATAACACTGTCGTGTCTTAGGGGCCCTATTCGGTTTCCGACGCCGTCGTTATCACTACATATTTAACAGTAATCGCGAACGCAGCAACACCAATAAATACTATCAGATTAGTAATACATGATTGGAAACTGCTTGGTTCAGTTACTGACCGGGAGGGCTTCTGCGTGTCCGGCACGTTGTTATTGGCGGTGCTCCGCTGAGTCAACACCTCCTACAAAACAAAACAATAACCTCAACACACCCAACGCGCCCACAAACCTGAATTCTGGTAACCGTGTCTGGGAACAAGTCGCAGAACTCTTTGTCCTTGAGATTAAACTCCAGAGAGTGGTAAGCGAACTGGCGCTTGTCGTATTCGGAAGTCTCTATACTGCCAAGAGTGGGGCTTTTCTCCAGCTGCGTACGAACAAGTCAACTTAGACAAACTAATGTGTTTTGTTACCATAATTACCATAAAACTAAGGAGTCCTGTGAGGATCGTGGACACGCTCCACGCCGGGTTCCACGTGTCGGGATGGAAGTCGGATATGCTCAAACACAGCTTCTTGTTGGTTCGAAACCGCCCGTTGGGGGTGATCATGTAGATGGAAGGCGGCTTGAACGGGAACTCCCGCGGGAAAACGAGCTTGCCGTGGTAGTAGCCCCCTTCGTAGGGGCTGTTCTCGGGCCCGCACACCACGTAATGCCTGCGAATTATGTAATAACAACAACGTCGCTGCAACCTTGCGCGCTTACCATTCCAGGATGTTTGATGGTAGAGGTTCTGCTGTGATATAAGGTACTGGGTCTCGTTTTAGTCTCAAATAGTCCTGTTTTAGTCTTGAGGTTGCACTGTTTGGTTTACGATTCGACATTTTCGATTAGTGTGATTAAACTGCGAACTTGTACATAATTGGAAGCTAGGTTAGGAGCACTGGGTGTACTTATTTGGGTACTCTTATCGCTGTCTATCGCTTTACACACGTAATCAATCAAAGTCTAGCGGCTGGGAAGTGTTCCGGAGATAATGGACTTGTGATTTTTTCGAAATTTCCAAAAACTTGAAATTATGACAAGTGACGTGATGGCGAACTGTCATTCTAGTCAGTTTGACAGGTTGACGGAGGGTGAAGTTTGGGGCGAAATTTACAAATAAATGCCGAAAGGAGCCCCATGGGTCTCTCATACACAGTGTTTTACCACTATTGGATTAAAATTTAATAAAACATGGTTAGAATAAGGCTGGACATAAAACATCGATAATCGAGAATAATTAAGTTGAATCACTGGTTGCCTATGTCCCAGGCGCTATTTTTTAATTACCAAAAGTAGTTTTTTAAAACGAACGGCACCCATTCACACAACGTTAAATAGAAAACCGTAATTAATAATTTATACAATGTATTTATATATTTATTGTATGCTTGTAAGCATTTCAACATTTCAACCAATCACAGCCGAGTATCTCATAATGTAACAAGTCAGCAAATTCAAATTGTGCAGGTGCGTCCTTGAATTATGACATCGTTCTTGCATCTGTCGTCGTTTTATGGCATTTTTATGATACAAAATTCGTCGAAAGTTGTTTCGACAGAACTTCCTTGGCACCGAAAGCATAATGAAACATATCCAGCATTTTACCCCCTAAGAAAATAAAGGGCGGGTGGGCATAGCTAGTATATATTTGTTAAAATAAGACTGATTTTGGTAAATGACTGAACAATATTAAGAGTAATCACCGGAATGAAGAGGGGGTGGGTGGGAGGGGCTACTGCTTGCTTATAAAAGATTCTGTTTGCAAAAATTAAACCTAGCCCCGCCCACCCACCCGTTCTCTAATTTTTTTCTTCAGAAGTAAGAAATAAATGTAGCAAATAATAGTAGTATAACAAAAAAATTTTTTTAACGGTCTAGGTTCTATGAATTTCCATTCTCACTTTACAAAAGAACATAATTCACCCCGCCCACCCACCCTGCTTCCGTTTCAGAGATTTATTTTGTCTAATCCGAATGAAAGGTGGATCTCAATTGAAGAGAGATAAAATCCTTAGAATAAGAATACAGTGTGCGGGCGCCCCGCCCCGTAGAATTTGCTAAGATAAGACTGATTGTAGGAAGCGACACCCTCTAAGAAAACAGAGGACGGGTGGGCGGGGCTAGTACTTGTTAAGATAAGATTGATTTTGGTAAATGACTGAACAATATTAAGAGTAATCACTGGAATTAAGAGGGGGTGGGTGGGCGGGGCTATAGCTTGTTTACAAAAGATTCTGTATGGAAAAGTCAAACTTTCCCCGCCCACCCACCCGTTGTCGTTTTTTTTCTTCAGAAATAAGAAATAAATGTTATAGCAAGTAATAAGTAGTATAAGAAAACACTTTGTTTTAACAGCCTACGTTCTGTCAGCTCCCATTCTTACCTTATAAAAGAACATATAATTCACCGGGTGGGCGGGGCTAGTACTTATTAAGATAAAATTGATTTTGGTAAATGACTGAACAATATTAAGAGTAATCTATGGAATTAAGAGGGGGTGGGTGGGCAAGGCTATAGCTTGTTTATAAAAGATTCTGTATGGAAAAGTCAAACTTAGCCCCGCCCACCCACCCGTTGTCATTTTTTTCGTCAGAAATAAGAAATAAATGTTATACCAAATAATAAGTACTATAACAAACCACTTTTTTTTAACAGCCTACGTTCTGTTAGTTCCCTTTCTTACTTTACAAAAGAACATATAATTCACCGGGTGGTCGGGGCTAGTACTTATTAAGATAAGATTGATTTTGGTAAAGGACTGAACAATATTAAGAGTAATCACTGGAATTAAGAGGGGGTGGGTGGGCGGGGCTATAGTTTTTTTATAAAAGATTCTGTATGGAAAACTTAAATTTAGCCCCGCCCACCCACCCGTTCTTATTTTTTCTTCAGAAATAAGAAATAAATGTTATATCAAATAATAAGTAGTATATCAAAATACTTTGTTTTAACAGCCTACGTTCTGTTAGTTCCCATTCTTACTTTACAAAAGAACATATAATTCACCGGGTGGGCGGGGCTAGTACTTATTAAGATAAGATTGATTTTGGTAAATGACTGAACAAAAAATAAAGAGTAATCACTGGAATGAAGAGGGGGTGGGTGGGCGGGGTTTAGTTTGTTTATAAAAGAGACTGTATGAAAAAGTCAAACTTACCCCGCCCACCCAACCGTTCTCATTTTTTTCTTCAGAAATAAGAAATAAATGTTATAGCAAATAATAAGTAGTATAACAAAACACTTTTTTTTAACAGCCTACGGTCTGATAGTTCCCATTCTTACTTTACAAAAGAACATATAATTCATCGGGTGGGTGGGGCTAGTACTTATTAAAATAAGATTGATTTTGGTAAATGACTGAACAATATTAAGAGTAATCACTGGAATTAAGAGGGGGTGGGTGGGCGGGGCTATAGCTTGTTTATAAAAGATTATGTATGGAAAAGTCAAACTTAGCCCCACCCACCCACCCGTTGTCATTTTTTTCTTCAGAAATAAGAAATAAATGTTATAGCAAATAATAAGTAGTATAACAAAACACTATTTTTTAACAGCCTACGTTCTGTTAGTTTCCTTTCTTACTTTACAAAAAAACATATAATTCACCGGGTGGGTGGGGCTAGTACTTATTAAGATAAGATTGATTTTGGTAAATAACTGAACAATATTAAGAGTAATCACTGAAATTAAGAGGGGGTGGGTGGGCGGGGCTATAGTTTGTTTATAAAAGATTCTGTATGGAAAGCTCAAACTTAGCCCCGCCCACCCACCCGTTGTCATTTTTTTCTTCAGAAAGAAGAAATAAATGTTATAGCAAATAATAAGTAGTAAAACAAAACACTTTTTTTTTAACAGCCTACGTTCTGTTAGTTCCGATTCTTACTTTCCAAAAGAACATATAATTCACCGGGTGGGCGGGCCTAGTACTTATTAAGATAAGATTGATTTTGGTAAATGACTGAACAATATTAAGAGTAATCAGTGGGATTAAGAAGGGGTGGGTGGGCGGGGCTATAGCTTGTTTATAAAAGATTCTGTATGGAAAAGTCAAACTTAGCCCCGCCCACCCACCCTTTGTCATTTTTTCTTCAGAAATAAGAAATAAATGTTATATCAAATAATAAGTAGTATAACAAAACATTTTGTTTTAACAGCCTACGTTCTGTTAGTTCCCATTCTTTCTTTACAAAAGAACATATATTTCACCGGGTGGGCGGGGCTAGTACTTATTAAGATAAGATTGATTTTGGTAAATGACTGAATAATATTAAGAGTAATCACAGAAATTAAGAGCGGGTGGGTGGGCGGGGCTATAGCTTGTTTATAAAAGATTCTGAATGGAAAAGTCAAACTTAGCCCCACCCACCCAGCCGTTGTCATTTTTTTCTTCAGAAATAAGAAATAAATGTTATACCAAATAATAAGTAGTATAACAAAAAACTTTTTTTTAACAGCCTAGGTTCTATGAGTTTCCATTCTCACTTTACAAAAGAACATATAATTCACCCCGCCCACCCACCTTGCTTCCATTTCAGAGATTTATTTTGTCTAGTCCGAATGAAAGGTGGATCTATAGTACTTGCTACGATAAGACTGATTGTGGCAGACGATATATCTCGAAGAAAATAGAGGGCGGGTGGGCGGGGCTAGTACTTGTTAAGATAAGATTGATTTTGGTAAATGAAATATCTTCTAAAAAACAAAAGGTTGGGCGGGCGGGGCCAAAGCTTGCTAAACTAGGACTGAACAATGTTAAGAGTGGTCACTGGAACGAAGAAGGGGTGGGTGGGTGGGGCTACTGCTTCTTCGTAAAACTAGAAAAGAGCTAAATTTAGCCCCGCCCACCTCCTTTATCCACTTCCATGACTTATTTTATTTAGTGTAAAATGGAAATTGAAAAATAACAGTATTGAATTCACAAAATTTTCTGGGAAAATGGAATGAGCCCCCCCTGATTTAATCAATAAATTGACTCACTCATAAATTTTTGGAGGCACCTGGTTAAGCAACTCTAAAAAATATGAATGGGATAATAAATCACAAGTAAAAACACACTGGGTAGAATTTATTCGGCAAACTTTTGATATGACGTCATAATTTTTTTTGGGGGGGATAAACAGATATATTGTGGTAGGGAATTTCTGTTGAGAGGGTTGGTAGAAGTTGATTTGATGGTTAGTGGGATGAGAGGCGTCACCACGTGTAAATTTGTTTTATCGTTTGTAAATGCACAGTTCATGTCAGGATTTTAATCGTTGACTGGTTCTAACACAATGTAACAATCAGGAGATTAGTCACTTTGTTTATCAAATTATGAATAAGGTTTCTGCATGCTTACACTCAAGTGTCACATTATAATACTTCTTAATTCCTCACACAAAATTGCTAATAGTTTTATCATGTGTTTTGTTTGGGATAAGCTGGGGACAGTCCACGATATAAACTCTCAAAGCTAATTGTTTTAAGTGACCAATCACTTGGATAATGGCATAACTTAGCATCATGTAAATTCTTCATTTGAATCGTTGATAAAGTGTGGCATAATTTAACTCCATGTAAATTCTTTGTTTGAATCGTTGCTAAGGTGTGGCAAATATTAAACTCGTAATTTCGACATCATATAAATTGTCTGATATCCAATCTTGTTGTTTAAAATTTCACGAGAATGTATGGCGAATATAAAAGTTGCTTATTACTTTTTTTTACAACTTTAAGACTTGTTCAGTTGTAGTTAAATATCAGAGTTATAGAAATTGAGGTAAATAACACAAGAACACGTGGCGGAAGCGGAGTGCGCGGTTCCTTGTCGAGCTGGCGGTGGTGCTATCTGCACAAGAGACGCAGATTTAGAGTGATGATGGGTGGCATGTGCTTGACGATAGAACAGAATCACCCTCGTGAGTAGGAGAACAGCCACGACCGGGAGCCCCATAGTTTTTATTAAAATTTTGTTCTCTTGTTGACTGCCTTAATTTTAAATTTACAACTACCTATAACCTAACGGAACATGTTTTTTAATAGTTTTTCCTTCTTTTTCTTTATTTTTGTGAACATAAAGAAAAATTGCGCTCGGTTTCCATCACTTTATTTCTATTATCTCTCCACGATTGTCACAATTGAGACAAAATCAGGTACAAAACAAGGATATTAACTTGACATTTCACATGCATGATATGTTTTCACTTTAATAACTTTAAATAAAATATATAAAAATAATAACAAGAATTATTGTATTATCACAAAACGTTTCTATTTATTAAAAATAAAATTTGGATTTAATTGTACTAATAACTGGAAACTTTCTCCTTCAGGATTTGCTGGTAACTGGCCTAAAACAAACATCCATGTAGATCAACGCCATAAAACGAAAAAGTTAGGTTATGACACCGATTTTCTTACTTTTAGTGTGGTGTACATGATCCCCAACTCCCCGCTCTCCAAACTCGGGTCCATAAAATTGTCGACGAAGTCCAGCTCCGACCCCAGATCCGGTATCCTGGCCCGCACCACCACGAACAAGAAAATCGGGAAAAGGTCGTCCATGTTCCACACGTAGCCCTCCCCCAGTCGCTCCAGCGCCACCGGCGTCATCTTCTCGACCGTCTGTCTGATCACCAGCAGCTTCTCCGTGGGCGAGAAGGTCGACTTCAGCTGCTGCAACGTCTCTATGGCGTCTTCAAACACGTGCGGAGAAGCCGTGTATTGTTCCTCCATCTTGAAGAATTTCCTACAAAGAAATGAAAACATCGGGTAATCCTAACCCCGACACTTACTGGTCCACGGATAAAAACGTCATCAGTGCGCAATCGCTCTGTTTGTTCCATTCCATCAAAGTTCTTTTGTATTGTCGCTCGAGTTGCTCATTCTTGAGCGTGAAAAGCGTGAATAGTGGATGGTGCACCTTGGGGAGAATCAGGGGGTACAGAAGAGACTGATAATTGATGATCTCTTCGTCGTCTTCGTTTTCGACGAGACATTCTTTGTCGTACGACGGAAGCGCGGGGAATAAAAATCGGACGATTTCGTACAGTCGCTTGCAAATGTAGTGCAGTTCGGTGATGGCGTGAGTGAGTAGGAGGGGGTGGGCACGCCCACCGTACGTCGTGTTGTACGCTTCGGATAAGTCGGTCAAAAGTGACCCTAATGGATGGAAGTTGCTTTCGAAAGCCTACGACCCTCAGTTGTTTCTTGGTACTTACTAATTAGTGATACTCACCTTCGCTAGGTAACTCTTTACCTCTAAATAAGTCCCCATGTCGAGCTTCTCGCGCCCGAAAGGCGGAATTATGTCTAAATTATTCAAAGAATTTTGGAATTTTTTGTCGGAAGTCTTCGTCTTCTTCAAGCTGCTGGTGTTGGAAAGGTAGACGGCTACATTTTGCCAGATCTTCTGGGTATCGAGCGACTTCGCCCCGTTTTTAATACCGTCAGGGATACCTAAAACCTGGTGGCATTGTTTGAATAAAGCCTTCCATTTTTGGTGGACGGGGGTACAAAATTCTTTGAATGTTTGCGGAAGGGTTTTTTCGCTGCTTCTGGTGAAGACCCCGTTGGAGATTCGGATGCCTTCGTTCCAGGAACCCGTTAGGTTGCCTTCGATGGTGTGCCCGGACGCTAGAGTCAGGGTTCCTTTGCCATAGAGTACCCCGGTACCACGGAATTCGCCCTCATAGTGAGTACCATCCTCCAGGATCATTACACCTTGACCCTAGAGTCAATAATTAGGGGTTAGTGGTTATGATGGGTCCTACGTACGGTGAGGACGTCTTGGTTAAAAATCCCTTCGTAGTAGAGACTGTCGGAGGTGACTATGAGCCCGTTCCCGTGTTTTTTATTGTCCATCCAACTCCCGATGTATTTTTCACCATTGGCGATGTCATCCATGACCCCGTAACCGTTCTTCATCCCGTTCACCCAATCCCCGATGTAGAACGAGGCTGCGTTTGCCATGAAATTCCCTTTCTGGAGGAACCCATGCCCATGGGGTTGTCCGTCTTTAAAGTGACCTCGGTAGACGTCCGTGTTCGCGTATTTAAACACCCCTAACCCATTTTGTTGGTTGTCCTTCCACTGACCCTCGTATGTCCCTACGACAAACAGTTATATCTCCGGAAGTACTACCAAGTACCACGTCATAGATTAATATAGATGCGACACACGGGCTGATTTTGCAAAACCGCTCTTATTGACATTGGAGAACTTCTTTGATCTACACACCAGAGCGCGCTCAGAACATCAGAAAATCGAAAAAATGTAAAATTCAAAAATCTAAAATTTAAAAACCGAGAAATCGAAAACTCAAAATATCGAGAAATCGTGGAGTCGAAAAGTAACAATTGAGAAACCGAAATAAGCCAAAATCGAAAAATCGAAACAATCAAAATATCGAAAAATCCAAATCTCGATAAAACGAGAAATCATAAAACTTAAAAATTTGAAAAATTTAAAAATTGAGAGATTGAAAGATCAAAAGAACGAGACATCGAAAAGTGATGAAGTCGAAAAATCGAAAAATTGAGAGTTTATAAAAGTCAAATTTGAAAAATTAAAAAATCGAAAATTTGGCAAAATGACAATTGAAACAGAAAATCTAAAACCAGGAAGTCGAAAAATCAAAAGATTAAGAAATCGAAACATTTGAAAAATTCGAAAACTTGAAAAATTTAAAAACCTAAAATTTAGAAATTAAAAAATCTAAAATTTAAAAATTGAAAAATTGAAAAATCGAAAAAGTAAAAAAATCGACACATTGAAAAATCCAGGAGTCAAAAATCGATTTCGACTTTCGATTTCCCGGTTTTTTAGATTTTTATGAGTTTTCAGTTTTTCGATTTTCAATTTCTTCTTTTTCAATTTTTTAATTTTTCGATTTGACGATTTTGTGATGTTTTGATTTTTCAATTTTTAAAATTTTTAAATTTCCGATTTTTCGACATCTCGACTTTTCGAGATTTTCCGGTTTTTAAATATTTCGAGCTTTTCCGGTTTTCGATTTTTCAATTTTGCAATTTTTCGATGTTTCAATTTTTCGATGTTTCAATTTTTCGATTTTTTAAATTTATAATTTTGTATATCCCGTTTTTTAGTTTTTTTGAGTTTTTAGTTTATCGCTTTTTAATTTCTCGTTTTTCAATTTTTTAAATTTTTTAATATACCAATTTTTCTATTTTAAATTTTACATTTTTAGATTTCTCGCTTTTTCAATTTTGCAGTTTTTACATTTTCAGTCGTTCAATTTTTCGATTTCTTGATTTCTCAATAGTTTGATGTTTTTATTTTTCGATTTCTTGGATTTTAGATTTTTAGACTTTTCAGCTTTTCGGTTTTCAATTTTCCGACTTTTCGATGTTTCATATTTTTGGTTTCTCGATTTTTGAATGTTTCAATTTCTTATTTTTTCGAATTTTTGAATTGTAGATTTTTCGATTTCTCGATTTATCGATACTTCAATGTTTCTTAAATTTAAAATTTTTCGACATCTCGACTTTTCGATTTCTCGATTTTTAGATTTTTCGAGTGTTTGGCTTTTTGATTTTTCAATTTTGCAATTTTTTCATGTTTCGATTCTTCGATTTTTCGATTTCATAACTTTTCGAGATTTGGATTGTAATCTGAAAAGCTATGAAATATAAATCTAAATCTAAATCTAAAAACTGAAAAATCGAAAAATCAAAAAGTGAAGTCGAAAAATAGAAACCTTAAAAAATCGAAAAATTGAAAAATCAAAAACTTGAAAAATCAAAAAATTAAAGAATTGAAGAACAGGAAAATCGAAACACTTGAAGGTCAAGAAATGGGAAAATCAAAACATCGATTAATTGAAAAATCGAAAAATTGAGAGTTTATAAAAGTCAAATTTGAAAAATTAAAAAATTAAAAATTTGACAAAATGATAACTGAAAAACAGAAAATCTAAAACCGGGAAGTCGAAAAATCAAAAGATTAACAAATCGAAACTTTTGAAATTTTAAAAATTAAAAAATCTAAATTTTAAAAATCGAAAAATTGAAAAATCGAAAAAGTAAAAAAATCGACACCGAAAAATCCAGGAGTCAAAAATCGAAAAGTCGTAGAAACGAAATATTGAAAAACTAAAATATTAAAGAAAAAATGACGAACCGAAAAACTGAAAAATAAAAAAGGTGAAGTCGAAGTATTGAAACCTTAAAAAAATCGAAAAATTGAAAAATCCCAAAACTGAAATGTCCAAAAACTGAGAAATTAAAAAATTGAAAAATTGAGAAATCGAAAAATCAAAAAAGTGAAGTTGAAAAATCGAAACCTGAAAAAATTGAAAAATTGAAAAACCAAAAAACCTGAAAAATTAATGAACTGAAAAATCGACAAATAATGAGTTTATAAAATTGAAAAATGGAAATATTTAAAAATCGTAAAATTGAAGAGAAAAACTGAAAACAGAGAAATTCAAAAATTAAGAAATTGTAAAATCCAAAAATTGAATAATAAATAGGAAAAATCATAAGATCGAAAAATTGAATAATAAGTAAACTGAAAAATCCCAAAACTGAAATGTCCAAAAGCTGAGAAATTAAAAAATTGAAAAATTGAGAAATCGAAAAATCAAAAAAGTGAAGTTGAAAAATCAAAACTTGAAAAATCAATTAACTGAAAAATCGACAAATAAAGAGTTTATAAAATTGAAAAATGGAAATATTTAAAAATCGTAAAATTGAAGAGACAAACTGAAAACCGAGAAATTGTAAATCCAAAAATTGAATAATAAACAGGAGTAAACTGAAATCCCCAAGCTAAAATATCTAAAAACTGCAAAATCGAAAAATCAAAAACCTGAAAAATCAAAAAATTAAAGAATTGAAGAACAGGAAATTCGAAACACTCGAAAAATCAAAAACCTGAAAAATCAAAAAATTAAAGAATTGAAGAACAGGAAATTCGAAACACTCGAAGGTCAAGAAATGGGAAAATCAAAACATCGATTAATTGAAAAATCGAAAAATTGAGAGTTTATAAAAGTCAAATTTGAAAAATTGAAAAATCAAAAATTTGAAAAAACGACAATTGAAAAACAGAAAATCTAAAACCGGGAAGTCGAAAAATCGATAGGTTAAAAAATCAAAACATTTGAAAAATTCGAAAACTTGAAAAACTGAAATATCGAAGAACTGAAATGAAAGTCGAGAAATCGAAAAATCTAAAATTTTAAATATTGAAAAATTAAAATACCAAAAAATTGAGAAATCGAAAATTTAAAAATCGAAAAAGTAAAAAGTCGACACATCGAAAAATCCAGAAGTCAAAAATGGAAAAGTCGAAGAACAGAAATATTGAAAAATCCCAAAACTGCAATTCCGAAAAACTGAAAAATGAAAGAAAAACTGAAGAATCGAAAAACTGAAAAAACCCGAAACTGAAATATTCAAAAACTGAGAATCTAAAGAATCGAAAAATTGAGAAGTCGAAAAATCAAAAAAGTGAAGTCGAAAAATAGAAACTTTAAAAAATCGAAAAAATGAAAAATCAAAAACCTGAAAAATCGAAAAATTAAAGAATTGAAGATCAGGAAAATCGAAAACCTCGAAAGTCAAGAAATGGGAAAATCAAAACATCGATTAACTGAAAAATCGAAAAATTGAGAGTTTATAAAAGTCTAATTTGAAAAATCAAAAAATCGAAAATTTGACAAAATGACAATTGAAAAACAGAAAATCGAAAACCGGGAAGTCGAAAAATCAAAAGATTAAGAAATCGAAACATTTGAAAAATTCAAAAACTTGAAAAATTGAAATATCGAAGAACTGAAATCTAAAACCGAGAAGTCGAAAAATCAAAAGATTAAGAAATCGAAATTTGAAAAATTCGAAAACTTGAAAAATTGAAATATCGAAGAACTGAAATGAAAAATCGAGAAATCGAAAAATCTAAAATTTAAAAATCGAAAAAGTAAAAAAATCGACACATCGAAAAATCCAGAGTCAAAAATCGAAAAGTCGAAGAATCGAAATATTGAAAAATCCCAAAACTGAAACATCGAAAAACTGAAAAATGAAAGAAAAATTGAAAAATGGGAAACCTGAAAAATTCGAAAACTGAAAGATCCAAAACTGAGAACCTAAAAATTCGAAAAATTGAGCAATCGAAAAATCCAAAAAGTGAAGTCGAAAAATCGAAATCTTAAAAAAACTAAAAAACGAAAAATCAAAAACTTGAAAAATCGAAAAATTAAAGAATGAAGAACAGGAATATCGAAACCCTCGAAAGTCAAGAAATGGGAAATCAAAACATTGATTAATTGAAGTGAAAAATCGAAAAATTGACAGCTTATAAATGTAAAATTTGAAAAATTGAAAAAACGCCAATAGAAAAACTGAAAATCTAAAACCGGCAAGTCGAAAAATCGATAGATTAAGAAATCAAAACATTTGAAAAATTCGAAAACTTGAAAAACTGAAATATCGAAGAACTGAAACAAAAAATCGAGAAATCAAAAAATCTAAAATTTTAAATATTGAAAAATTAAAATATCAAAAAACTGAAAAATCTAAAATTTAAAAATCGAAAAATTGAAAAAACGACAATTGAAAAACAGAAAATCTAAAACCAGGAAGACGAAAAATCGAGAGATTAAGAAATCGAAACATTTGAAAAATTAAAATATAGAAGAGCTGAAATGAAAAATCGAGAAATGGAAAAACCTAAAATTTTAAATATTGAAAAATTAAAATACCAAAAAAGTGAGAAATCTAAAATTTAAAAATCGAAAAAGTAAAAAGTCGACACATCGAAAAATCCAGAAGTCAAAAATGGAAAAGTCGAAGAACAGAAATATTGAAAAATCCCAAAACTGAAATATCGAAAAACTGAAAAATGAAAGAAAAACTGACGAATCGAAAAACTGAAAAATCCCGAAACTGAAATATCCAAAAACTGAGAATCTAAAGAATCGAAATTTGAGAAATCGAAAAATCAAAAAAGTGAAGTCGAAAAATAGAAACCTTAAAAAATCGAAAAATCCCAAAACTGAAAATCGAGAAATTCAAAAATTGAGAAATTGTAAAATCCGAAAATTGAATAACAAATTGAAAAATCCCCAAACTAAAATTTCGAAAAACTGAGAATTCGAAAGTTGAAACAGCAGAAATTATGGTCGAAACCGGTTAGGATGTGTATCAGATCATGGCTTATAAATCAAATCGTTTCCGAACGCTTAGAGTCGACATTCGCCTGAGTGCACTGTGGTCTGTAAATCAAAGGAGTTCTCAGACGACGAACTGTAATTCGTGTGACCTGAATTAAAGTAAGCAGCTTGTAATATTCTGGTAAATCTAGTGTCAATTTGTCGAAAGTAAAACGCGTCGTTAAAAATGTTATGACATTTTTTCTAGTTAATTTTATTCTTAGTTAGAAACAAACACAACAATAAGTCGTTTAATTTAAACTATGACGCTTCTCTATGTTCTCTGACCACCTACCCACATTGGGGATCTCCATAACCCCAAATCCACACAACAGGTTGTTGGAGAACTGTCCCGTGAAGACTTTCCCGTCGTTCCATTGCAGCTTCCCGTTCCCGTGCATCTTCCCGTTCAACCAACGCCCAGTATACGTCGAATCCTTAAAAAACCCGCTGTTCCTAGTAAACGCGTAACTCCCATTCCGCACCGTGGGCGGCTGCAACGCGTCGCTTTTATTCATCGCCGTCTTAATAGCGTTCTGGAGGGCATGGAACCACTCGATTTTCGTCTCGGGTTCGTTCGTATACAAAATAAGCGACTCCTCGGGCATTCGTAAACAAATCTGGTACTGCTGGGACGCTTCGTCCTGCTGCGGCTCGATCCATATGGTCGTGAGGTTGTGCAAGTGCGAGGTGGAGCCGTTCATGTGGACGAAAAGGTCCGAAAATAAGACGAACCAATGCGACGAAAACCGACTAGCGTTGTGGAGGAAAATCGGGTACTTGTGGCTATCCCGGATGAGTCGGCGGTCCGAGGATTTGAGGAACTCCACGACCTTCCCCGAGTTGAGCCAAAACTCCTTGGTCAGTTCGGCTTGTTGTTTCTTTTGGAGCTCTTCCTCGACGAAGTCGGTCCATTTTTTCGCGTCGGTGTTCAGTTGCTTGGAGTAGGTTTGTATGGTGGTGGTGTAGGTGTCGAGGCGGTCCAAGGGTGCCAACAGGTACGTAGAAATAATGTGTTCTTCGTTTTTTTCCTTCCTAGGAAAGCTATCTGGTCTCTGTTTGTACAAATTCGGAGATATTTCAATCAGTTTTGATATGCTATGGAAACCGTCTATGCTAATCACATTGAGTATAGTATTGATATAGTTCTTGTACACGAAAATAAACTCCTCCAAATATCTAAAGACGATAATATCACATAGGGAGATCAGTCCGTTGCTGTACTCGAGCATACTATGAACATTGGCGGCCCAAAAGTGCAACAATTCCATATAGTTCTTGCATAGCTCTTCATACAAAGTCGTGTAGGAAGCGTTCACGTTCTTCTTCTGGAATGGCTTGATGATGCACGTCTGCACCACGAGCATCTCCTCCAGAAACTTCTGTTCTTGGATGAGGAAACTGTCGAAGAAGTTGTCCACGGAACCGCCCACGTTCAGCAAGGTGTACTGCTGGCTGGACAGCAAGTTCCTAAATAGAGTAATTCGGTTTTCGCGGCTGTCGCCGGAGTACAGGTCCACGGTTTTGTCGGCCCCCTTTCCGAAGTAGTTTAAATTGAGGGTGTTGTTCAGTACCGCTGTGTAGTACTCGCCACATACTACGTCTTTCACGCGTTCGTCTTTGTTGGTGTTGTACAACTTGGGGGAGCTTTGGTCCACGTTGCTGTCCATTGTTACTTGGTTATGGTTGTTGCGGCCCCAGATGTACGCTCGACCGTCTAAGGTCAGTACGGATGCGTGGTAGTTCTGTACGGAGACTTTTCGAACACCTATATTTGACAATTTGGTGATTATCATGGGGCGTTCGCGGCGGATTATGTCACCGATGCCTGCAAAGAAAACGCGGCGGTAATGGATTAAGAGTGATTTGAATTTTTGGTTGGTGGTAGAGTTAGTTCTAGAAGGTGACTAGTGTTAAGAGAAAAAATTGGTCGAAGGGTATTTTGATAGAACTTCTCTTGTACATAGAGTGCCAACAAATCGGGCTTGTTTGAAAAATTATATAAATTTTTGGGGTCTGATGACCTCTATAAAGTCAAAACCAGTGGAACTTTTGAGTTTTCAATTTTTAATTTTTTAATTTTCGAGTTGCAATTTTTCGTTTCGATTTTATAATTTTTTGTTTTTTCGATTTTAATTTCTTCAGTTTGTCGTTTCTTCAATTTTTTTATTTAAAATTTCTTCAATTTTTCATTTTTCTTCAATTTTACGATTTTGCAATTTTACGATTTAAAATTTCTGAAATTCTCATTTTTAATTTTTATTTTTATTTGCAATTTTTGGTTTCGATTTTTTATTTTTCTCATTTTCTCAATTAGTCGATTTTATAATATTTTGTTTTTCCAAATTTCATTTTTTTAATTTTTCGTTTCTTCAATTTTTCGATTTTGCAACTTTTAGTTTTGATTTTTTATTTTCTTTAATTTTTCAAAGTTTCGATTTAATAAATTTTTGTTTTCCCAATTTTAATTTTTTCTATTTTTCGTTTCTCCAATTTTTCAATTTGGATTCTTTAATCTTTCATTTTTCTTGTATCTTCAATTTTTCGATTTGCAACTTTTCGTTCCGATTTTTATTTTCTTTATTTTTTAATAAATTGTTTTTTCAATTTTACGTTTCTTCAACTTTTCAGTCTTTCACTTTTCTTCAATTTCTAGATTTTGCAATTTTTAGATTTAAAATTTTTCGAGTTTTCAATTTTAAATTTTTTATTTACAATTTTAGTTCCGATTTTAACATTTTTTGTTTTTTTAATTTTTCGTTTCCTCAAATTTTTCGATCTGCGATTTTTAATTTTTTTTGTTTTTTTGTCAATTTTTAGATTTTGCAACTTTTCGTTTTGATTTTTTATTTTCTTTATTTTCTCAATTATTAAATTTTTCAATATTTCGATTTCATAAAATTTTGTTTTTTCAAATTTAATTTTTTCAATTTTACGGTTTTTAATTTTTCATTTCTCTTCAATTTTTAGATTTTGCAATTTTTCATTTTTCTTCAATTTTTAGATTTTGGCAAGTTCTCGAGTTTTCAGTTTTTATTTTTATAATATTTTATTTGCAATATTTCCTTTGGCTTTTTTTATTTTTTTTTTTTTCTCAATTATTCTATTTATCAATGTTTCGATTTTATAAATGTTTGTTTTTTCAAATTTAATTTTTTCAATTTTCCGCTTTTTCAAATATTTAATTTGCGATTTTTCAATTTTCTGTTTTTTTTGTTTCCTCATTTTTAGAGTTTGTAATTTTTTTATTAAAAATTTCCCCAGTCTTCAATTTTTTATTTTTTATCTCCAATTTTTCGTTCCGATTTTTTATTTTTCTTTATTTTCTTAATTATTCCATTTTTCAATGTTTCATAATTTTTTGTTTTTTCTATTTTTTGTTTCTTCAATTTTTCAATTTGGATTCTTCAATTTTTCATTTTTCTTGTTTCTTCAGTTTTTCGATTTTGCAACTTTTCGTTTCGATTTTTTATTTTCTTTATTTTCTCAATTATTCAATTTTTTAATGTTTCGATTTTATAAATTTTTGTTTTTCAAATTTAAGTTTTTCAATTTTCGGCTTTTTCAAATTTTCAATTTGCAATTTTCCAATTTTCTGTTTTTTTTTGTTTCCTCATTTTTAGAGTTTCTAATTTTTTTTTTATTTAAAATTTCCCCAGTTTTCAATTTTTAATTTTTTATTTCCAATTTTTCGTTCCGATTTTTTTATTTTCTTTATTTTCTTAATTATTCGATTTTTCAATGTTTCGATTTTATAATTTTTTGTTTTTTCAATTTTAATTTTTTCTATTTTTAGTTTCTTCAATTTTTCAATTTTGCAACTTTTCGTTTAGATTTTTCATTTTCTTTATTTCCTCAAATATTCAATTTTTCAATATTTAGATTTAATAAATTTTTGTTTTTTCAAATTCAATTTTTTCAGTTTTACGTTTCTTCAAATTTTTGTTCCGATTTTATCATTTTTTGTTTTTTCAATTTCGATTTTTCCAATTTTTCGATTTGTGATTTTTCAATTTTTAATTTTTCTTGTTACTTCAATTTTTAAATTTTACAACTTTTTTTAATTATAAAATTTTCCAATATTTCGATTTAATAAATTTTTGTTTTCTTAAATTTAATCTTTTCAATTTTACGTTTCTTCAATTTTTCGATTTTGCAATTTTTCGATTCAAAATTTTTCGAGTTTTCAATTTTGAATTTTGAATTTTTTATTTGCAATTTTTTGTTCCGATTTCTTTATTTTCTTAATTATCCGTTTTTTCAATGTTTCGATTTCATAATTTCTTGTTTTTTCAATTTTAATTTTTTCTATTTTCCGAACTTTTAACTTGGAATTTCTTGTTTTTCCTATTTTGACTTTTTCAATTTTTCATTTTTCTTGTTACTTCAATTTTTATATTTTGCAACTTTTCGTTTGGATTTTTTATTTTCTTTATTTTCTCAATTAATTGATTTTTCAATGTTTCTATTTTATAAATTTTTGTTTTTTCAAATTTAATTTTTTCAATTTTCCGTTTCTTCAAATTTTCAATTTGCGATTTTTCAATTTTCCGTTTTTCTTGTTTCTTCCTTTTTAGAGTTTGTAATTTTTTGATTTAAAATTACCCGAGTTTTTAATTTTTAATATTTTTTATTTGCAATTTTTATTTTCGATTTTTTATTTTCTTTAGTTTCTCAATTATTAAATTCGTCACTTTCGACTCAATAAATTTCTGTTTTTTCAAATTTAATCTTTCCAATTTTACGTTTCTTCAATTTACAATTTTTCATTTTTCTTCATTTTTTAGATTTTGGCAATTTCTCGAGTTTTCAGTTTTTATTTTTATATATATTTTTTTTCGTTCCGATTTTTTCATTTTCCTTATTTTCTTAATTATTCGATTTTTCAATGTTTCGATTTTATAATTTTTTGTTTTTTCAATTTTAATTTTTTCTATTTTTCATTTCTTCAATTTTCAATTTTGCAACTTTTCGTTTAGATTTTTCATTTAATCTTTTCAATTTTACGTTTCTTCAATTTTTAGATTTTACAATTTTTCATTTTTCTTCATTTTTTAGATTTTGGCAATTTCTCGAGTTTTCGGTTTTTATTTTTATACATTTTTTTTTGTTCCGATTTTTCTATTTTATTTATTTTCTTAATTATTCGATTTTTGAATGTTTCGATTTTATAATTCTTTGTATTTCCAATTTTAATATTTTCTATTTTTCGTTTCGTCAATTTTTCTATTCTGCAACTTTTCGTTTAGATTTTTCATTTTCTCTATTTTGTCAAATATTCAATTTTTCAATATTTCGATTTACTAAATTTTTGTTTTTTCAAATTTGATTTTTTCAATTTTGCGTTTCTTCAATTTTTGAATCTTTCATTTTTCTTCAATTTTTAGATTTTGCAATTTTTTGATTTAAAATTTCTGGAGTTTTCAATTTTAATTTTTTTAATTTTTCTTTCAATTTTTTGCTCCGATTTTATCATTTTTTGTTTTTTCAATTTTTATTTTTCCAATTTTTCGATTTGCCATTTTTCAATTTTTCATTTTTCTTGTTTCTTCAATTTTTAAATTTTACAACTTTTCGTTTGGATTTTTTATTTTCTTTGTTTTCTCAATTAATCGATTTTTCAATGTTTCTATTTTTATAAATTTTTGTTTTTTCAAATTTAATTTTTTCAATTTTCCGTTTCTTCAAATTTTCAATTTGCGATTTTTCAATTTTCCGTTTTTCTTGTTTCTTCATTTTTAGAGTTTGCAATTTTTAATTTTTTAACTTTTTATTTGCAATGTTTCGTTTCGATTTTTTTATTTTCTTTATTTCCTTATTTATTCGATTTTTCAATGTTTCGATTTTATAATTTTTGTTTTTTTAAATTTAATTTTTTCAATTTCTCGAGTTTTCAGTTTATACTTTTTTAATTTCATATTTGCAATTTTTCGATTTTTTATTTTTTCTTTTATTCGATTTTGCAATGTTTTGGTTTTATAAAATTTTTGTTTTTTCAAATTTAATTTTTTTATTTTTCTTCAATTTTTAGATTTTTCAATTTTTCGATTTAACATTTCTCGAGTTTTAAATGTTTCGATTTTATAATTTTTTCTATTTTCAATTTTTCGTTTCTTCAATTTTTAGATTTTTCATTTTTGTTGTTTCTTCAATTGTTAGATATTACGACTTTTCAATTTCAAATTCCTGGAGTTTTCGATTTTAAATTTTTCGAATCTTCAATTTTTAATTTTTCAATTTTTCATTTCGGATTTTTATTTTCTTTAATTTTTTAATTTTTCTGTCTTTCAATGTTCTGGTTCGATAATTTTTCTTTTTTTTCATGTGAAATTTTACAATTTTTGGATTTTACAATTTCCAGATGTGTAATTTTTCGATTGTTTAATTTTTCATTTTTCCAATCTTAGATTTTTGTTTCCTGATTTTGTAATTTTTCGTTTCTTCAATTTTTGGATTTTAAAACATTTTCAGTTACTCGATTTTTCAATTTTTCGATGTTATAATGTTATAGTTTTTCGACTTTACAATTTTGACGATTCTATAATTTTTCGATATTTCAATGCTTGGTTTTTCCATTTTTTCAATTCGATTCGTTTTTTCTTCTTTCCAATTTGTCGATTAAAGAGTTTTTTCGATTTTTGAAGTTTCTTGACTGTTAGTTTTCCAATTTCTGAATTTTTCGCTTGTTCATTTCTTCAAATTGTAATTTTTTGATCTTCCAATTTTTCGATTTTGCAATTACATCTTTTTTTTAAGTCTTAAAAAATGGAAAAATTCTTACATTGTAAAATTGAAACATCAAAAATAGAATGGAAAAACTAAAAAGTATAAAATGAAAACTTTCAAAAATCTAAAAACTGGAAACCAAAAACATTGAATTAACAAAAACATGAAAAATCAAAAAAATTAAAAACTCAGAAGCTTAAAAATCGGAAAAGTGCAAATCGGAAAAAAATATTGTAATGTCGAAATATTGAAAATTAACGAAATCGGAAAATACGATAATTAAGAACTCCAAAAATTGCAAAATTGAAAAATCAGAGATTGAAAATAAGAAAATTTGAAAAAGTGAAAAATTATAAAACTGAGAGAAACACCGGCAAATATAAAACGAAAAATTGTGATATAAAACCGAGAAATTGAAAAAAAATGAAAAACCCGGGAAAATGAAAAATAAAAATTAAGAATTTGAAAAAAAGAAAAATAAAAATTGTAACATCGAAAAATTGCAAAAATTAAAAAATACAAACCGAAAAATTGAAAAAATTGGAATTCTTGAAATTGAAAAATTAAAAAAATCAAAGTTGAAAAAGATAAAAATTATGAAACCGAAACACTGAAATATGAAAAAATTGAAAAATGAAAGAACATGGCAAAACGAAAAATTATGATTTCAAAAAGTTGTAAAATTGAAGAAAAAGGAAAAAAATTGATATTCCTAATATAAACACAAAATTTGATCACAATCGGTTCAGTAGTTTCGGAGATTGTGTCTAATAATAAAAATTGATACAGACAGTCAGACAGACAGACAGACGGAAACGGTGACCACTTTTTTCGTACTCTAGAAAGTAAAAATGGAGAGCGAGCAACTTTTAGATGGTTTAAAATACAGACAGAAGTAGTTCAAACTACCGGTAGCTCTAAGTTAGTGAAGCGCAAACCACTGATTGGACTATCGCCACAGGCTCCGCCCTCGAGCCTTCCAGCCCGATATAAACAGCAACGCTTCAAATCAAAAGTTCAAACACACCATCACAAGCAAAATACCTGTTACTGTCTCCGCACTCTCTCGCATCCCCACAAACTTATGAAAAAACTGCCGAATCGGATTATTTAAGCAATCATTCTGTACGCTTTCTAAATCCTGTCGGCAATCTGCAGTAAAACAAATGACGAAACAATTTCAACCAGCCATCTCCTCACCTAACTGTCCGTGGATGATGTTCCCCCAGGTCCACACCTCGCAGTTGATCAGGCTCGACCCGCTGCGCACCACCGCGGCCACCCTGTCCTTGATCTCCCCCTCCGACAGGTCCTTCTCCGACGTGCACTGGCTCAGCGAGCACACGCCGTCGTCCTTGGACACCGAGCGCGGGATGTTGCTGACTTCCGGCAGGTTCTCGATGATGCTGTTGCAGTCGGAGCTGCCGCTGACGTGGCGCGACAACGTCACGACCTTGTCGCCCACGGTCTTCACGCCCTCGTACACGAAGCTGGCGACGTTGGTCATGTTCTCCTTGATGATCCGGGTGGGCTTTTCGGTGCACTCCACCAGGTACTCCTCGCCGGCGGAGGACATGCGCGAGATCTGGCGGGTGAGGAACTCCTTGGCGGCTTCGGTGTTGCGGAAGATGATGTTCTTTTCCACCTTTTGGGTGTCGGTTTTCTCGTCGGCTTCGTCCTCGCTGTGGACGAGGCGGCGGTCGGAGCTGATGCTGCTGTCGTTCTTGCTGCTGGTGGAGGTGGTTTCGATGTCGTAGCTGCCTGTGGAGGAGGTTTCTTTTTATAACAAGGAACGTGAAACATGTTTAAAGCAGAAGATATGTATTTTGCAATTAGGCTCCGCCCCTCGGTTTGATAACGAATCGAAAATTCATTACGATTGAGATCAGACAGATGGGTGTGGCTTATCTTTTGTTTTTACTTAATACGTGTAGTTTTTTTAAGTAACACGGATGTTCCAATTATACTCCGCCTTTTGGTCTGACAACGAATGAAATTTCATCACAATTGAAATCGGAGCTGGTATGGGCGGGGCTTAATCTTTGATTCTAATTTTTACTTAAATTAAGTTGTATTCTTTGAACACACGATACTTAAAACATATTTTACATGATAATTTCTTGTAGAGATATAAGGATTTTAAGCTCCACCCTCTTGGCTCACCATGCATAAAAAAATCATTACAATTGATATATGGTGGGTGGGCGGGGCATATATTTTGCCTTTTTTTTAATATACGTAGTCTTTTTTCACAACAAGAAACATCAGTTGGATACATTATTAATTAATGAAAAAAAAAATACATAAGACTGATTTTGGCAAATGACATACCTCTAAAAAATAAAGGGTGGGTGGGCGGGGCTAGTACTTTTACTTAATTTTTCGACTTTTCGATTTCGACTGGGATTTTTCGATATTTCGATTTTTAGATTTTTACATTTTCTGTTTTTTTTTATTTTTTGCTTATCCGATTTTTCAACATATTGCGATTTTTTAAATCTTAGATTTTTCGAATTTTCAATTTTTCGGAATTAACTTTTCAGTTTTTCGGTATTTCGATTTTTCAATGTTCGATTTAACGGTTTTCTTTCAATTTTCCGCTTTCACGTTCTTAGATTTTCAGGTTTTTCAATTGTTCGGAATTAATTTTTCAGTTTTTCGATGTTTCGATTTTTCACTTTTTCGGTTTTTTAAGTTCAAATTTTTCAATTTTGAATTTTTCCATTTTTCGATTTTTAGCCACTTCCATTTCTCAATTTTTCGGTTTCGATTTCTCGATTTCTCAGTTTTCGATAATCGATTCTCCAATTTTTTAAACGTTTCTGTTTGGGAATTTCTGTATTTAAATTTTTCGATTTTTCAATTTTTAGCGTTTCTAAATTTTTTTCCTCAATTTCCCGATTAATCGATTTTTTAATTTTTCGACGTTTCCATTTCTCAAATTTTCAATGTTTAAGTTCCGGGATTTTTCAATATGTACTTCGATTTTTAGATTTTTAGGTTTTCTGTTTTTTTTTATTTTTTACTTATTCGATTTTTCAAAATATTGCGTCCTTTTAAATCTTACATTTTTCCATTTTTCAGTTTTTTTATTTTTCGATTAATTGATGTTTTGATTTTCCGATTTTGTAAATTTTCAATTTTTCGAATTTCTAAATTTCAGATTTTTCAACTTTTTGTTGTTTTGATTTCTTAGTTTTTGAATTTTTTGCCTTCTCATTTTTAGATTTTTCGATTTTTCAATCTTTCCGAATTAATTTTTCAGTTTTTCAATTTCTTGACTTCTTGACTTATCGATCTTTTGATGTTTCGATTACGCGATTTTTCAATTTTTTAATTTCGATTTCTCGATTTCTCAATTTTTCGATAATTCATTTTTTCGTTTTCCCAATTTTTCAACGTTTCAGTTTTGGAATTTATGTATTAAAATTTTTGGATTTTTCAATTTTTGGCGGTTTTAAATTTTTCAATTTTTCGATTTCTCAGTTTCCCGATTTTTTAATTTTTCAACTTTTCGTCTTTACGATTTCTCAATATTTTGATTTTCAAATTTTTAATGTTAAAATTTTTGGATTTTTCAATTTTGGGATTTTTCAATTTTTAAATTTTTCGACTTTCTGTTTTTTTTTTATTTTTTTACTTTTGCGATTTTTTAAATCTTACATTTTTTGATTTTTCGATTCGTTGATGTTTTGATTTCTCGATTTTGTAAATTTTCAGTTTTTCGAATTTTTAAATTTTAGATTTTTCACTTTTTTGTTCCGATTTCTTAGTTTTTTGATTTTTTGCCTTAAATTTTTAAATTTTTCGATTTTTCAGTTTTTTGGAATTAATTTTTCAGCTTTTCGATTTTTCGACTTCTCGACTTATCCATTTTTTGATGTTTCGATTTCGCGATTTTTCAATTTTTCGATTTCGATTTCTCGTGTTTTTTAAGTTTAAATTTTTCAATTTTGAATTTTTCGATTTTTTGACTTCTCGACTTATCGATCTTTTGATGAAAAATATTTCTCGATTTCTCAATTTTTCGATAATTCATTTTTTCGTTTTTTAGATTTTCCAATTTTTCAACGTTTCAGTTTTGGGATTTGTGTATTAAAATTTTTGGATTTTTCAATTTTTGGCGTGTATAAATTTTTGAATTTTTCGATTTCTCAATTTCCCGATTAATCGATTTTTTAATTTTTTGTCTTTTCGATTTTTCGTCTTTCCGATTTCTCGATTTCTCAATTTTTCGATTTCTAATGTTTAAGTTCTGGGATTTTTCAATATGTATTTCGATTCTTAGATTTTTAGATCTTTTGGACTGTCTGCTTTTTTATTTGCTTTTTACTTATTCAATTTTTCAGTTTTTTTTAAATTTTAAGATTTTTCGAATTGTCGGTTTTTTAATATTTCGGTTTGTTGATGTTTTGATTGATTTTTTAAATTTTCAGTTTTTCGAATTTTTAAATTTTAGATTTTTCACTTTTTTATTGTTTCGATTCCTCAATCTTTCGATTTTTTGTCTTGTCGTTTTTAGATTTTTCGATTTTTCAAAATTTCGAAATTAACTTTTCAGTTTTTCGGTATTCCGATTTTTCAATGTTCGATTTAACAGTTTCCTTTCTATTTTTCCCTTTCATGTTCTTAGATTTTTTTTGGGATTTATGTATTTAGATTTTTCGATTTTTCAATTTTTGGCGTCCCTAAATTTTTGGATTTTTCGATTTCTCAATTTCCCGATTAATCGATTTTTTAATTTTTCGACTTTTCCATTTCTCAAATTTTCAATGTTTAAGTTCTGGGATTTTTCAAATTTGGGATTTTTCAATACGTATTTCGATTTTTAGATTTTTCTACTTTCTGTTTTTTTGGTTTTTTACTTATTCGATTTTTCGAAATATTGCGATTTTTTAAATCTTATAAGATCTTACGATTTTTCAATTTTTCAAAATTAATCTTTCCGTTTTCGATATTTTGAATTTTCACTTTTCGATTTATCGGTTTTTTTAAGTTCAATAAATTTTTCAATTTTGAATTTCCCATTTTTCGATCTTCAGCTATTTCGATATTTCAATTTTTCGATTTCGATTTCTAGATTTCATAGTTTTTCGATTATTCGTCTTTCCGATTTTTCGAATTTCCATTTTTTCGACGTTTCAGTTTTGGGATTATTGTATTTAAATTTTTCAATTTTTGGAGTTTCTAAATTTTTGGATTTTTCGATCTCTCAATGTCTCGATTAATCGATTTTTTAATTTTCCGACTTTTCGATTTCTCAATTCTCCAATTTGTCTGTTAAAGTTTTGGGATTTTTCAAGATTTTAATTTAAAAATTTTTAGATTTTTCGACTTTGTTTTTTTTTTTGGATCTTTTACCTATTCAACTTTTCAAAATATTCTTGCGTCTTTTTAAATCTTGCGTTTTTTGATTTTACAGTTTTTTGATTTTTCGATTTGTCGATGGTTTGACTGCTCGATTTTTTAAATTTTCGATTTTTTGAATTTTTAAATTTTAGATTTTTCCCTTTTTTGTTGTTCCGATTTCTCAATCTTTCGACTTTTTGCCTTCTCGTTTTTAGATTTTTCGATTTTCCAATTTTTCAGAATTAATGTTTCAATTTTTCGATATTTTGATTTTTCGGTTTTCGATTTATCGGGTTTTTTAAATTCAATAAATTTTTCAATTTTGAATTTTCCCATTTTTCGGTATTTAGCAATTTCGATATCTCAATTTTTAGATTTTTCGACTTCTCAATTCATCGATCTTTTGATGTTTCGATTTCGCGTTTCTTCAATTTTTCGATTTCGATTTCTAGATTTCTCAGTTTTTCGATAATCGAATTTTCGATTTTCCAATTTTTCACGTTTCTAAATTTTTGGATTTTTCGATTTCTCAGTTTCCCGATTAACCGATTTTTTAATTTTTCGACTTTTCGATTTCTCAAATTTTCAATGTTTAAGTTCTGGGATTGTTCAATATGTATTTCGATTTTTAGATTTTTAGATTTTTCAACTATCTGTTTTTTTTTGTTTTTTACTTATTCAATTTTTCAAAATATTGCGTTTTTTTTAAATCTTATATTTTTCAATTTTTCAGTTTTTTGATTTTTCGATTTGTTGATGTTTTGATTGCTCGATTTTTTAAATTTTCAATTTTTCACTTTTTTGTTGTTTCGATTTCGCAATCTTTGGATTTTTTGTCTTCTCGTTTTTAGATTTTTCGATTTTTCAATTTTTCAGAATTAATCTTTCAGTTTTTCGACATTTTAATTTTTCAGTTTTCGATTTATCGCGTTTTTTAAGTTCAATAAATTTTTCAATTTTGAATTTTCACATTTTTCGATCTTTAGCTATTTTCATTTCTCAATTTTTCGACTTTTCGACTTCTCAATTTATCCATCTTTTGATGTTTCGATTTCGCGTTTTTTTAATTTTTCGATTTCGATTTCTAGATTTCTTAGTTTTTCGATTATTCGTCTTTCCGAATATTCGAATTTCCAATTTTTCGACGTTTCAGTTTTGAGATTTATGTATCTAAACTTTTGAAGTTTCTAAATTTTTGGATTTTTAATTTTTCGATTTCTCAAATTTTCAATGTTAAAGTTCTGGAATTTTTCGTATTATATATTTCGATTTTTAGATTTATAATTTTTCGACTTTGTTTTTTGTTTCCTTTTTTACTTATTCGATTTTTCAAAATATTGCGACTTTTTAAATCTTAGATTTTTCAGTCTTTTGATTTTTCGATTTTCTAATTATTTAAACGTTTCTGTTTTGGGTTTGTGTATTTAAATTTTTCGATTTTTCAATTTTTAGCGTTTCTCAATTTCCCGATTAATCGATGTTTTAATTTTTCGAATTTCCATTTCTCAAATTTTCAATGTTTAAGTTCTGGGATTTTTCAATATGAATTTCGATTTTTAGATTTTTAGACTTTCTGTTTTTTCTTGATTTTTTACATATTCGATTTTTCAAAATACTGCGTTTTTTTAAATCTTACATTTTTTGATTTTTCAGTTTTCTGATTTTTCGATTTGTTGATGGTTTAATTGCCAGATTTTATAAATTTTAAATTTTTCAGAATTAAATTTTCAGTTTTTCGATATTTTAATTTTTCAGTTTTCGATTTATCGGGTTTTTTAAGTTCAATAAATTTTTCAATTTTGAATTTTCCCATTTTTCTATTCTTTAGCTATTTCGATATCTCAATTTTTCGATTTTTCGACTTCTCGATCTTTTGATGTTTCGATTTCGCGTTTTTTTAATTTTTCGATTTCGATTTCTAGCTTTCTTAGTTTTTCGATTATTTGTCTTTCCGATTATTCGAATTTCAAATTTTTCGACGTTTCAGTTTTGGGATTAATATATGTATTTAAATTTTTCAATTTTTGAAGTTTCTAAATTTTCGGATTTTTCGATTTCTCAATTCTTCAATTTGTCTGTTTAAGTTTTGGGATTTTTCAAGATTTTAATTTTTAAGTTATGGGATTTTTCAAGGTTTTAATTTTTAAATTTTTAGATTTTTCGACTTTGTTTTTTTTTGGATTTTTTACCTATTCGAATTTTCAAAATATTCTTGCGTCTTTTTAAATCTTGCGTTTTTCGATTTTTCAGTTTTTTGATTTTTCGAATTTTTAAATTTTAGATTTTTAACTTTTTTGTTCTTTCGATTCCTCAATCTTACGATTTTTTGCTGTCTCGTTTTTAGATTTTTCGATTTTTCAATTTTTCAGAATTAATTTTTCAGTTTTTCGATAAGTTCATTTTTCAATTTTCAATTTATCGGGTTTCTTAAGTTCAATAAATTTTTCTATTTTGAATTTTCACATTCTTCGATCTTTCCATTTCTCAATTTTTCGATTTTTCGACTTCTCAATGTCTCGATTAATCGATTTTTTAATTTTCCGATTTTTCAATTTCTCAATTTTGATTTCATAAAATTTTTCGATTTTCTGTTTTTTGATTTTTCAAAACTTTGCGAGTTTTTAAATTTTACATTTTTCAACATTTTCATCTATTCGAAACTTTAATTTTCGGATTTTTTAGATTTTTAAAATTCCTCATTTTTCAATTTTTCGGATTTGACAATATTTTGATTTGTTCTTCAAAAACGAAACAACATCACATATTTAAAAAAAGAAAGAGCTAGGCGCCCCTAAGATTATGAGTTATAAATATAACAAGACATCAGTTAGATAATTAATTAACGAAAAAAAAGTAGTACTTACTAAGATAAGACTGATTTTGGCAAATGAGATATCCTCAAAAAAAATAAAGGGTAGGGCTAGTACCCGATAAGATAAGACTAATTATGGCAAATCACGTACCCTCTAAGAAAATACAAACGTTTAAAAACAAATATAAATGTTACAGTTACCAAAAAAAAAATCCCCGAACTTTTGCTTTTACACATCTACTTTTCAATTTACAAAAAAAATACTGTCGCAAAACCTCGAAATGTCAACTATGTCACAAAAAAATGTGTACCTAATTAACGTTACGTAAATTTTCTAAAATATAAATTCCACTGGTCTTCTTATCTTGATCAAGAAGTACGGTTTCAACACATAAAAACTAACTTTCTCTGTTAGTTCTGGTCGCCATGGTTACTGTACAGTCTGTCGAAAATCTGTGTGATAGTACAGTCACAGTCGCAAGTCTTAGCAACATTGCGACCTTGAGCAGTCACACTCACTTGAAACGAAGTTTATATTGTTATTATGACATTAATATTTTACTATTTCCTTTGAATAGTGGTTTTTACCAGATGGTGCATTTTATGACATTTTAAAATGCAAGGTAGCTAGAATTTAGTAAATTATTATATATAGTGATAAAAACCCATTTTAATTTCATGTTAATTTCATGCATCAAATAAAATAATAACTACCACGTGTTTTACAATGCCCAGTGTAATAGTAAAGGTAGTAACCATATCATTACATAATTCTTATCTGGTAAATCAGCGATTTCGCATCGCATATAGCGTGCCTAACAAAGCTTAGTTCCCGCAACATTAAAGAGTCACCTTCCACTCTAATTACCTTGCACTTTCATCCCAAGCGGACACATATCAGAAATGGAGGTCTGCGACGCCGGACTCGTCAGCTGCGACGCCGACAAACACTGCGGACAATTGGAAATAAAAACATCTTCTTCGTCACTATCAACGTCGTCCTTCGTCTGCTTGCTCACAATCGCTATGGCAAAATCGCTGCCCACATCCACGCTGTGCACGAACCGCCCATTAAAAAAATTAACCTTCTTGGGCACCTCCGAATTGATCCCTATCTGGGGCATGCACCCCATGGCCCACAAGTGCCCCGACTCGGTCACAAACAAGTGGCCAAAGGCCCCGATTGAGATTTTGCCCACTTTCATCTTGCATTTCGTGCCTGTGTGGCCCCTCGAGCACTGGTAGTCCTCGACTAACGTAATTTCGCTACACTTCTCTAAATTTTTTGTACATTTAAACACATTGCCTTCTATGTCTACAACATATAAGCTATCTTTACAGCAATCTACATCTATCACTTTCCACTCCTCGCAACATTCTAACTCTAGGTACGATACGTTTTCTTTTGTTTGTACGGTTCCGTGGTATAAACAGTTGCTTGATGTCTGGATGTACAGGTGGTTTTCGATATTGCTTATTTTCGTGACGCTTTCTTTGAGCTCAGTCTGGAGGTCTATGCTTTGTGTGAGGTTCCATAAACTAAGGGCCATTGCTTTAAATAATTGTACTAAAATTTGGATGGAATTAAACGGAAGGAACTAAAGTGAGCACCGGAACGGTAAATAATTCACACCACACCTTCCCATCTTGAATCAGCTGATTGTCAAACGGGGTGACATTTCGCACTTTTTATGGAAACTAAACGTGTCGGGGACGAAACGAACGTAAACAATGAACACACAGCCGCGTAAATAAACATTCGCGGATGTTAATTACTCGAGAAAGGATAAAACATCTCGTAAAAAAGTAATGAGTAGTTCGGGAGACTCGGAATAGTTCGAATCGACCGTCGCGCTGACTAGTGACACCTGTCAACAGTGTCAACCAGAGAACATACAGGAGCGTCATAGTTTGAATTAAAAATTGGTCTAAAGAGTTTAGACAGTACTTCCCTCGCTCTCGGAAACTTGACGACTGCATGCCTATTGTGTTTTTTTTTCTCATTACATTTTTGTAGTGGGAATTTAAAAAAAATTGCGATGACGTCATCAACATTTTTGCAAGGACACGTATATCAGTTGGGATAGATGTAGTGTCATACTAAGAATAAAATTATTATATTCTCAAATTTTCGGGAAAATGAATTGGGTCGTTTGAATATTGATTTGTAATAATCAATAAAATAACGAAACAATTTACTCACGTATACCTACGTATCAGAGGCAACTGAAAATCGTGTATGTATAAACATTCTTAATTTAAGATGACAGGCGTAACAGCATACGTGAGAGCCAAACAGAGAAACTGTAAACAAAACGACCGTCGGTTTTATTGCTTCGACTTCCGCTTATTATATAAAACATTGGGTTTTATTTTAATTCTTGACGGTGAAATTCACAATTGGTTGATTATAAACATGTCTATTTCACATTCGCGGAATCAAGTGAACGCATAAAACAAATGCAGGTCTGTAATGTTAAAGTCGATGTAAATAAGCGTGCTACCCTTATGTTTCAACCGAGTTTTTCCTTTAACAAATTTTGTGTCTACCAAATTGGGTTGGTTGGGGTGTAATACTAATAATAAGTGTTGCCTTTAATTTAATCAATAAAATAAATTGACTTCATTAATTTTTTTGAACCACCTCTTAAGAAAATCTAAAAAATATGAATGGAATGATAAATCACAAGTACAAACTCATCATATTTTTTGCATTTTAGATAGGATTTATTCAGCAAAATTTAAGGGTGACGTCATCAATTTTTTTAGGAGGGATGAACAAATACATTTTGAACAAAAGTTTACCATGCTTATAATAACTTTAAAATATTCCCAAGATTTCAAAGCATTCGGTTTTGTAATTCCTAATTAAATCGATAAAATAAATTCACGCCTTCATTAATTTTTTTGAGTCACCCTGCATATGCAAACCCAAAAATATGAATGGAATGATAAATCACAAGTGCAGACTCATCATATTTTGTACATTTTAGATACGATTTATTCGGCAAACTTTTGAGCTGACGTCATCAGTTTTTTGTAGAAGATAACCAAATATATTTTGACTAAAAATTTATTATGCTCTTTATAACCTTAAAACATCTGCAAGATTTCAAAGCATTCGGTTTTGTAGTTCCTGATTAAATCAATAAAATAAATTTACGCATTCATTAATTTTTTTGAGTCACCCTGTATATGCAAATCGAAAAAATTTGAATGGAATGATAAATCACAAGAAGAGACTCACCATATTTTGTACATTTTAGATAGGATTTTTTCAGCAAAATTTTGTGGTGACATCATAAATTTTTTAGGGGGGACGACCAAATACGTTTTGATCAAAAATTTACCATGCTTATGATAATTTTAAAATGTCTTCAAGATTTCGAAGCATTCGGTTTTGTAGTTCCTGAGTAAATCAGTAAAATAAATTTACGCTTTCATTTATTTTCTTGAATCACCCTGTATATGCAAATCCAAAAAATATGAATGGAGTGATAGATCACAAGTACAGACTGATCATATTTTGTACATTTTAGATATGATTTATTCGGCAAATTTTCGAGCTGACGTCATCAAGTTTTTGGAGGGGATAAGCAAATATATTTTGACTAAACATTTATTATGCCCTTTATAACCTTAAAACATCTGCAAGATGTCAGAGCATTCCGTTTTGTAGTTCCTGATTAAATCAATAAAATATATTTACGCATTCATTAATTTTTTTGAGTCACTCTGTATATGCAAATCCAAAAAATATGAATGGAGTGATAAATGACAAGTACAGGCTCATCATATTTTGTACATTTTAGATATGATTTATTCCACAAACTTTTGAGCTGACGTCATCAAGTTTTTGGAGGGGATAAGCAAATATTTTTTGACTAAAGATTTATGATGCTCTTTATAGCCTTAAAACATCTGCAACATTTCAAAGCATTCTGGTTAGCAGATTAAAAATTATATTTCAAAATGTTGTTTTATAATTTTGATTTTTTTTCCAAAAATCTGGACGTTTCGGGTGAAAAGTCGATTCAGAGTTGTAAACTACATGTGTAGGACTATGTTATTTTATACAATTGAAAACCCATTTACTATGTACAATTTTGAAGTGACGTCATCGCATTAGTGGTGGGGATGATTAGACAAATTTTGGTTAGCGTTTTACCATCTACATGATATTCTTAATATAAGTACAAAATTTCACAACAATCGGTCGAGTACTTTCGGAGATTATCTGTCTAATAAAAATCCGGGACAACAGACGGACAGACGGACGGACAGACGGACGGACAGACGGACGGACAGACAGACGGAAATGGGAGACCTATTTCTTCGTCTTCTAGGGGTCATGAAAGATCGAGAAAACGTAAAAGTAGAGAGTCGGCCGACGGACTCGATTACAATACTTCCTTTGCTTACGCTCGGGAAGTAAAAATCCTAAAACTGAAATATCTAAAAATTGAAAAATCGAAAAATCAAAAAAGTGAAGTCGAAAAATAGAAACCTTAAAAAATCAAAAACCTGAAAAATCAAAAAATTAAAGAATTGAAGAACAGGAAAATCGAAACACTCGAAGGTCAAGAAATGGGAAAATCAAAACATCGATTAATTGAAAAATTGAAAAATTGAGAGTTTATAAAAATCAAATTTGAAAAATTAAAAAATCGAAAATTTGACAAAATGACAATTGAAAAGCAGAAAATCCAAAACCGGGAAGTCGAAAAATCAAAAGATTAAGAAATCGAAACATTTGAAAAATTCGAAAACTTAAAAAATTAAAAAATCTAAAATTTAGCAATTAAAAAATCTAAAATTTAAAAATTGAAAAATCGAAAAAGTAAAAAAATCGACACATTGAAAAATCCAGGAGTCAAAAATCGATTTCGATTTTTTAAATTCTAGATTTTTCGGTTTCTCGATTTATCGAGACTTCAATGCTTCTTGAATTTTAAATTTTTTGATTTTTCGACATCTCGACTTTTCGATTTCACGGTTTTTTAGATTTTTACGAGTTTTCAGTTTTTCGATTTTCAATTTCTTCTTTTTCAATTTTTTGATTTTTCCATTTTACGATTTTGTGATGTTTTGATTTTTCAATTTTTAAAATTTTTAAATTTCCGATTTTTCGACATCTCGACTTTTCGATTTCCCGGTTTTTAAATTTTTCGAGTTTTCCGGTTTTCGATTTTTCAATTTTGCAATTTTTCGATGTTTCGATTTTTCAACTTTTCGGTTTCATAACTTTTCGAGATTTCAATTTTTCGATTTTTTAAATTTACAATTTTGTATATCCCGTTTTTAGGTTTTTTGAGTTTTTAGTTTATCGCTTTTTAATTTCTCGTTTTTCAATTTTTTAATTTTTTTAATATATCAATTTTTCTATTTTAAATTTTACATTTTTAGATTTCTCGCTTTTTCAATTTTGCAGTTTTTACATTTTCAGTCGTTCAATTTTTCGATTTCTCGATTTCTCAGTATTTTGATGTTTTTATTTTTCGATTTCTTAGATTTTAGACTTTTAGACTTTTCAGCTTTTCGATTTTTCAATTTTCCGACTTTTCGATGTTTCATATTTTTGATTTCTCGATTTTTGAATGTTACAATTTTTTAATTTTTCGAATTTTTAAATTCTAGATTTTTCGGTTTCTCGATTTATCGAGACTTCAATGCTTCTTGAATTTTAAATTTTTTGATTTTTCGACATCTCGACTTTTCGATTTCACGGTTTTTTAGATTTTTACGAGTTTTCAGTTTTTCGATTTTCAATTTCTTCTTTTTCAATTTTTTGATTTTTCCATTTTACGATTTTGTGATGTTTTGATTTTTCAATTTTTAAAATTTTTAAATTTCCGATTTTTCGACATCTCGACTTTTCGATTTCCCGGTTTTTAAATTTTTCGAGTTTTCCGGTTTTCGATTTTTCAATTTTGCAATTTTTCGATGTTTCGATTTTTCAACTTTTCGGTTTCATATCTTTTCGAGATTTCAATTTTTCGATTTTTTAAATTTACAATTTTGTATATCCCGTTTTTAGGTTTTTTGAGTTTTTAGTTTATCGCTTTTTAATTTCTCGTTTTTCAATTTTTTAATTTTTTTAATATATCAATTTTTCTATTTTAAATTTTACATTTTTAGATTTCTCGCTTTTTCAATTTTGCAGTTTTTACATTTTCAGTCGTTCAATTTTTCGATTTCTCGATTTCTCAGTATTTTGATGTTTTTATTTTTCGATTTCTTGGATTTTAGATTTTTAGACTTTTCAGCTTTTCTATTTTTCAATTTTCCGACTTTTCGATGTTTCATATTTTTGATTTCTCGATTTTTGAATGTTAATATTTCTTAATTTTTCGAATTTTTGAATTGTAGATTTTTCGATTTCTCGATTTATAGATACTTCAATGTTTCTTAAATTTTAAATTTTTCGATTTTTCGACATCTCGACTTTTCGATTTTCCGATTTTTAGATTTTTCGAGTGTTTGACTTTTCGATTTTGCAATTTTTTCATGTTTCGATTCTTCGATTCTTCGATTTTATAACTTTTCGAGATTTGGATTGTAATCTGAAAAGTTATGAAATCTAAATCTAAAAACTGAAAAATCGAAAAATCAAAAAAGTGAAGTCGAAAAATAGAAACCTTAAAAAATTGAAAAATTGAAAAATCAAAACCTGAAAAATCAAAAAATTAAAGAATTGAAGAACAGGAAAATCGAAACACTCGAAGGTCAAGAAATGGGAAAATCAAAACATCGCTTAATTGAAAAATCGAAAAATCGAGAGTTTATAAAAGTCAAATTTGAAAAATTAAAAAATCGAACATTTGA